TAAAGCTAATAAATGGTGAAGTCAGAGTAAGGTTGACAATTAGGGGAGTAAAACCTTGCTGCTGTTAGTAATCGTGAAGGTAAAAACATTCAAAATGAACAGACAAAGATGTTGTGCAAGGTTGTTGTTGAATATATCTCCACAAATGTTTGTTTACACTTAAAAAATATTTGGCATGCTTCAGATAGTTTTAAACCTCTATTTTAGTACAAAATAATCCTCTATTTTAGTAGAAAATAATCCAAAATTACAGCTGAAGGGTTTCTGTATTTTATGTTTTTTCCTACATATTATGATGTTTCTAAGTTATTTAAGTGCCCAAAGGTCTGTATTATCATTATTATTATTATTGTTTTCATTTTGTGACTAAAAGGTACATAATTGCCCAAGTAATTTTGTGACTAAAAGGTACATAATTGCCCAAGTAATTTTGTGACTAAAAGGTACATAATTGTATAAAGAATATCAACAGCGAACTTTATTAAAATTTTATATTTCCCCAATTATTGTTTTTGTCTTCAATAAGAAAGTTAAAATATTGTCATATTGTAATATTTTTTTTTACTCTCAACTAGAAACAAACCTATGCTTAAAAAAAAATCTATTTCAAAACCAATGTCAACTAACAAGTATTTTTCCTCTTTTGGCATGAAATTTGAAATTGTATTAACCAGATAAACCTAGTTCTTCTGACAACATTTGCTGCTTTTAATAGTTTTGTATCTTCTGAAAACCCATAATCCCCACCACCTACTCTAAGATAAGTGGAAGACAACTATTGGATGAACTTGGTAGCTTCCCACCCTGTCTGAAGTGCCAATACTTGTGCCATTGGACTTGACAGGAACCTTGCCTGACCTAAACCCCAAAGAGAATCATGGAGGTATTGTGAAGGAGAAAATGAGAAAGAGTTAATCCCGTGATGTAGGAGCTTAGTGTAAGCAGGTAAGTGGCTGGGAATTTCTTAAAAACTGAAAATCAAAGTCTAAAAACTGACAGGCAACATGAAGACAACCCTAGATCGGGAAGTCCTGGCAACAGATAAAGAGTCCAGCAAGAAAATGTCCAAACAGGGAGCCCAAATATGGGTAGATGGTTACTTGAGTGGAAACAGGTGAGACTTAAAGTAGAACACCATTGGAGGAGCATAAGGGGTGAGTGGAGAAAAGGCAAAACACAAGGAGAGCACAAACCCAGAAAATGATAAACCAGGAAATGTTATAGGATCAAAAAAGGAATTAAAGACAACACAGGATATAGGGCAATTCGGATGATGAAAAAAAGAACAGAATCAACCCAAACATATGAAAACATAAATTACAGAACAATAGTTTTAAATGAACATACTCATAACTGGAGCCAACCGTGAAGCTCAGCCAAAGTTAAATGAATCTGGGCTTCCCTTACACCACTGACTGCGCCACAAGCTGATCACCTCCTTACTACGCTGTACTAAAGCAGGACTTCATGCAAAAGGAACATGCTCTTTAGAGGTCAACAAAGGTCATACGTATCCAATTTGGCGCCAGTCGGATGATCCACGTGTCATTTAGAGCCGATCATATGCACATGGCGAAGAACTGCAGTTCGTCATTTCTACACCCCAATGCGGTTCGGTCAGCAGCCAGCATTCATAGAGTTCATCATGTTATCGTTTTTAGTCAGTATTCACATGATGAAACCCATATAAATTATAGAATAAACAGTAAAATATACAGCAGAAAAAACATGTGACTGCCTCTTAAAAGTGGGCAGGGCTACAGTGAGGTCATCAAGTGACCATGGAAATGTGTTCAGGGCTGTTCTCTAGAAAGACAGAGGAAGTGTGATGATGCAGCTGTGATCTTGCATTTGGAAGTCATTTAATGTTGATGTTTCATGGCAAATAGTGAAAGTTTTACACTAAGCCACACCCACATGCTTTGATGTTAACTACAACTGAGATCTAAATGCAGTGCAACTTTAACGTTATTGTGAAATGAGTCAGGAAAATGGTGAAGGTTAAGATGTACCAGTTTAATAAACCGTACTGTTCAGTAATAAACCAAGGGCAATGCACATTAACAGAGCACAGTTAACTTTCAGCACATTAGAAAAAAAGCAGAAGCTGAATCCCACCCATTAATTAGGTATTTATCACAGGAAGTGCTGCAACTAAATATTACAACCCCAATGGATCGGTAAAAATATACTTAGCATTTTCTCAGAGCTCTTTGAAACGACATTTTAAACATCTTCTATACATAATAACAAACAAGTCTAAATGTATGAAACTGGATGTAACAAACACACTATTCAGTTTATTAGTAAAGCGCTTCGTTAGCATTAAAAACGTTGCAGGCCTCAGGCATTGGGTTAGCATCCTCCTCAGAATAACTGTTCCAAACATGACGGCTTCCAGAACCAGCAGGAAGGAATAAATTACTCACCGCACTGCGAGTTACGACTGTTTAAACGAACAGCAATGGGCTCTTTGCACTCTTTTTTCCACTTTCAGTAACTATTACTGCTATAAAAGACAAAGTCGTACTTAAGACACAAATAAAACAATACTATGTACTTTCTTTAAGTTTTCATGGATTTCCAAGCCATCCTCAATTAAGACAGCTTGTAAATATTCGTTGCTACAAGTTAAAGCTACCACTTGAAGCTAACGCCGTACACACCGCTCTAAACACCGTCTTAATGAGTCATTCACACAAGCATGCAAAAGTAATAAATGAAATAACACAGAAATCTTAAGCAACACGGCCATATTTTTCTAAAAGTAATAACTCTGAACCTGAACAGTCAGCTGAACTAGAACTCCGATACCAGAGTAAACTCTAGGCTCGTTTTTCTTCGTCATAATTCAAGCAAAAAGTCTGAACTGTAATCTGCACTCCCCCTCCCCGCTGCGTTTATTGTCGTTAACAATAAACACAGGTAATATGCTTGAAAATAAGGCACAGTGTCCGTTAGAATGGCTGAGAAATCTTTAGATATTAAATAGCAGATTTTTACTAGAAAGCTAGCAGGCTTGTGCTAGCAGTTTAAAGAAAATAAAACTCACCTTCATATCTGTGAATTTATAACGAGGCGAACATCTTAAAACCTTTCTTTGGCTTACTTGTTGGGGTTTCGGATTGATGTACATTATTAATTGTTACCATGGAAAAACATTTCAGCCGTTTAGCTGAGGTGCAAAGAGGCCATAAAACTGCTCCAACTCCGGTCCAACAGAGCCTTCTTGCTCAAAAGCGTGGTTCGGATTTTGCAACTCCAAAATCCAAGCAAAATGTTGAGCGTAGTCCAGGTCTGTGGCTCCAAAAAGCAGGCAAAATGTTCAGGAAAACTTTGCAGCTCCAGCTGTCGCTGGCTGACTGTTATTACGTAGCGTCGATCTGTTTTCTCATTGATGGAGTACCACTGCCTCCTGCTGGCGCAATACTGGTATTGCACCAGCAGTGCCAGTATTTCGCCACAAGGGGCCAGTGGTACTCCATCAACACTGACCACAGTGTGTTCTTACTTCGCTGTGTCATAAGTTTTGCTGAATGACATTGTTTGTATTATTTCTAGCAAAAATGAATGAATGTTTGTACTGTAACCCACAAAATAAACTTATATATATATATAAAAAAGTTACAATAATGTATATTTAAATAATTAATAACAACATAACCTATGGGCTGCTGTTTTCTAGGGGGCGCTAGACCTGACAAGATACACGTGTATAAAGTTTTGTAATTGTAGGTTAAAGCATGGCTTGGGGCTGATCATTTAAAGTTTTCTAGGGGGCGCTATAGAGAAATTAGGCCACGCCCACCAAATATTGTGATGGATTCCTGTCGGGGAGTTGATGAGGATCCATAGTTGTGAGTTTGGAGCAGCTGGGCCCGAAAATGTGGAATTGAGAGCCAAACGTATGGCGATGGCGTTAGAGGTCACTTCGCCACGCCGCCACGATGGAGCCCACCTGCTCCATCGAAGCTGGTCGGGGTTGGAATCCTCAATACACCAACATGTGTTCTGTGTCTGGGCACAGTTTCATGTTGATGTGGTCAAAGGGGTCAGATAGAGAAAGTTCACAGTAAAACATTACACTTCCTGTTCTCAGGGGGCGTGGCCTAAGTGATGTCATCATTCGACCATAGGGTATTGTAGGACACCCGATGATGATCAATCACAGAAACTTTGGTGCCTCTGTGAGTTTCTGTGTAGGAGATATAGCAGTTTATGTTTTTATGGCGAGTAGGGAACTTTTCCTCTAACTCCCCTTCAGCATACTCAAAAACTCACAGTTTTGATAACTTTAGACGGGACATGCCTTATGAACAGACTGACCAAGTTTGAAGCCGATCAATAAAAATCCCTAGGAGGAGTTCGATCAAATACGAAGGCTGTAAATGGCAAAAATGGAGTCAAAATTCGAACTTCAATCCAAAATGGCTGACTTCCTGTGATACTTGCACTATGACATTAATTGTAAATTTTGAGCATCTTGGGGAGCTCTACAATTGTACCAAATTTCATGTCTCTACGATGAAGTAAGTGAATAGCAAAGGGTCCTTTGAAAATTTCTAGGTGATGCTATTGAGCCATTTCTTTTGTAATTTTTGCGACGACTTTAAAATACGTAAATTTGAAACAGGCTTAAGGCTTCCGCCAAGTTTGGTGAGTTTTTGAATATGATAAAGCCCCCAAAAAGCCAATTCATTTGGAGGGAGAATCGTAATAATAAGAAACAGTACAGAAACAATAGGCCTTCGCAGCGCTTAGCTGCTCGGGCCTAATAATAAGAAACAATAGAAAAACAATAGGCCTTCGCAGCGCTTAGCTGCTCGGGCCTAATAATAATAATAAGAAACAGTACAGAAACAATAGGCCTTCGCAGCACTTAGCTGCACGGGCCTAAATATATCACAGTGTAATGCCTGTGTATAATTTAGAAGACTAACTTTTTAAATTGAATTTCTGAAATAAATTATCTTTTCGGTGATATTTTCTTCTGTTTGCAGAGCTTCCTGGGGCTCCCTCCAACCTGGTTATCTCTAACATTAGTCCACGAACAGTGACGCTCAGGTTCCGCCCTGGTTCTGATGGTAAGACCGTCATATCCAGATGGATCGCTGAAGGACAGGTGTGTTGTGCTGAGAGTGCATTTAGTGGTTACCGTCAATGGCTAAACACAGCAGGAGGAAACCTGTTCTGCAACATTCTTTGTATTTAACAGGTGGTGAAGGAGGATGGGAGAGAGGAGGCATGGAGAGTCGTTTACCAGAAAGACAACAAGCCGAATGCAGACACGCTGGAGATCCAGAGCCTCACTCCCTTCACTCAGTACAGGTAGCAGCAAACACATAGAGCACTTTCACAGGCTCCAGCTTACACAAATCTCACTCTTCTGCGGTTTCTGCAGTATAGCAGGGCTCAGGTGAAGTTCGATAAATCACACAGGCACACCGAGAGACAGTTCCATCTGAGACTTTTCTGTTTGTCAGCACCTTCACAGCTGCAGCATGCAGGTCCTTATAACCTTCCTTCAAACTAGCTACAGGAGACGGGGGCTGGGGGGAATAAGAGGTATAAGGAAGCGGAGGGGAGAGGAATGCTGATGAGAAAGTTGGAACGACAGCAGAAGGCATTTAAACTGCAGGACAAGCAGAGAATAAGAGACACGGAGAAGAGGAGAGAATCTACTCTCTCATTGATAAGCAGCTCTTCTCTCATTTTCTTTATGTCCGCTTGATATGAATGTCCCCTCATCCTAATATTCAAATATGGAAAAATATGGAGTTTTTTCTTCTGGTTCTGGATTATAATGGAGAAATATTCTTATTTCCACTTTGTCTTGATCCATTGTTTAAAAATTCGTCTTTCCGGTCATCTGGAGATATGTGTCAAAAATATACGATGGACTTTTGTGGTTTTAGTTTTGTTTATGGAACTTTAAAATTAATTTCAATTAACTAATTCTGCTTATCTTAACACAATTAATTACTTTTTTCATTTTATATACAAAGGTCCTTTCATTGTGTATCATGAATATGCAACATATCCATAAGCAAATGGATTGATGACAAAATTGTCATGAAACGATGGTGAGGTTGGCGCGTGAGACACCTACCTCACGCGCCTACCTCCACTTTGTTTTTGGGAGGGAAGACTGACGAGCTGCAGCCTGTGGAGTGAAAATGATGGTTTAATGAAGAAATCCAAAAATCCAAACACAAGAACAGTCCCATTACCAGGCAGCATGGCTGAATGGAGCCATGCTGCCTGGCACGCAGCCGTACCAGGCAGCACGATACGGCTCCATTGCAGGTACCAACTTGTACCATGAAAGGACAAAGACAACGAACTGAGCACACACTTACAGCAGATGCCAAAATGAGACGAGGACCCGACAAGGAACAAAGGACAAAGGTGGGGTTAAATACACTGAGGGTAATCATGGAAATAAGACACACCTGGGAATCATCAAGGGGAGACTAGACAACACAGAGACTCTAAGTCAAAAATTCAAAATAAACACAGAAAAACACAGATCCTGACAAAAGGTGCTTCTCCTTGTCCACTGGAAGCGGCGACACCAGAGAATTATGGGCTCCTGAGTTTTTATAAGGGTGTCCAGAAAAAAAAGTTTGATCCAACAAATACTATTATAGCTAAGTCACAGGAGTGCGCCTCTGAACCTCCTTGATCCAACTTTTGATCAGATAAACAACGAATGAAAGCTGTAAAAATTTGTATCGATGATCATCACCATTGCTTGGTGGAGAGAAAGGGGCATCAGCAGGGGGGTGGGCCATTTGCAGTAGGATCTTAAGAACCTGCATGTTCATTTTGATTAATTAACTACAAACCCTATGATTAACTTGTTTAAAATTTTTAATTGAGTACCACATCTAGTTTCAGTTAAAAAATTTAATGAGTGAATTCTGGAAATGTAACTTTCAGAAGTCTGATATTTTGATATGAAAATATGTTGAAGCTAACACAGCTCTCATTGTCACAGGCAGAGCCACTGGGACACTAGATGAAGCGTTGCGCTTGTCTGTATTTCTCGTTTCTTCTTCTAATCTGCTTTCACTTGTTCCCCATCGCAGGGACAACAACTCAGAGTTGTACTCTCTCAGGCAAACCCTGCCAATCACACATTTCAACATTCACAGCCACAAAGAAGCATGGCCTCATTTATAAGCAGAAAAAACAACAAACTCTCTCTCATGAATGTTTTTGTGTTTACAAGTCTACATGTTCAGACATAGCTGTTTTATTGACTCGCTACTAGCTGCTCTCAAACAACTAAAGAAGTTCTCATGAAGAGCTTCAGATGTTGATGTTTACTGTTCAATAATTTAATAGTGAAAACATTTCTAAAGTTTGGCACTATGCCTAACTTTTAAAGATATTTTTGCTGATCTTGTCAGAGAGATAAGGTAAAATATTTACAATCTTTTCTGACACTTTTACCAGACAGTAAACCATGACGGCTTCATAAGTTAGAGAAACATTGGAATTTGTAGGGTTTCCTTGTAATAATAAGTGTCTCTGTCACCAGGTTGTGTAGGTTGTTTGAGTAAAAATGCTGTTTAATCTACTACAACAGAACAATGCTAGGGCTGTGGAAAACGATTATTTTAGTAAGGAAGTATTCTATTGATTATTCTGCCATATAATTGAGTTAATTGATGTCGGATATTAACATTGGCCCAAATTTTTATATTTGTTCATCCCTACAATTACTTTTCTATATTTTAGAAAATTAGCCTGCAACAATAGCTCACTTTTTAAAATAACTTGGACAAAAATTCTAAATAAATCTGAAATTATATTTAATTTAATTTTAAAAAAGGCAGGCTCACAAAGACACGTAAAAAAAATGTTATACTCTAGTTTGTCGCTTACAAACTAGAGTATATCCTCCATCAATTTAATCCAGAGCAACAGATGATTGCAACATTTGAAGAAGCTTGTTGCTAACTCACCGGACCACACTGATTTTTACATGAAATTATTTGTGTTTAAAGTTTTGATTTTTGTGGTCTCCAGGTTTAGGATCAGGCAGGTGAACATCATTGGTTCCAGTCCAATGAGCGCCCCCTCTAGGCTGATTCAAACACTACGGGCTACCCCTGACACCTACCCATCCAACCTGAGCCTCGTGTCTGTGACACAGACCAGTCTACATTTTAGCTGGAAGGTACCAAAACACACATGGACACACACGCCGAATACATGCTTGACTCTGTAAACCATTAACCTTCAATCTGCTCCTTTAAGCGGTGCTAATTTGACTGGGAGTTCTTTTCTTCCTTTTTTTGCAGGCCTGTGTTGTGTCCTTGCATCTTGGGTTTTTTATTATAGAGAGTCTGTAATCATTGTCTCTCCTTGTTATCATTGCTCACACTAATCTGTCACATTTCTCACTCACCACTTTGGACTCGAAGCAGCACAAACTGCTGCATAATTTTGTTCTCCAAGTCTTTCCTTTCTTTAGTTTTCTCTTTTCTGTCCTTCCCTCCATCCCTCTTTTACTCCCACCCCTCCACTCTTCTATTATAATGTAAATGGAGAGCAGAGCATTTTTCCATTTAAGAGTTGGAATGAGAAAAAGAGCCTGTCAAATCAGACACAGACACCGAGACAGTACAGACTATAAGTGTAGCATGCTAATGAAACTTCACCTGTATGTTAGCATTTTGCCTGAGCTATGCTGGTTTTCTGCTTTAATGGGACCATCACAATGGTTTTAGCTAAGGCCATTATTCTAAGCGGCATATTAAGGGTAATAAAACTAATGTGACTTTTTGTATTGTGGCTCCTAAATGCTAAGCTGTGCTAAATCACTGAAGTATTTAAAATGACAGGGTATCTCAAAGACTTTCCCTCTGCACAGCGTGGGACAGCTGCTATGTACATTGTTTGTGAAAATCGTCTGTCCGATTAGGTACAAACTGGATAGTAACAACATCTACCTAAAATGATGACAGGACAATTTCCTCCTGAAGTAATATATCAACAAGGATGTGAGATGATGCTGAACAGATGAAATGGCAGAGATGTAGTATGCAGGTAAGGAGGAGAAAGTGGAAATGTGAAGCAGATTGGAATTTATCGGTCGAAGTATAAAGCACATACAGTTTTTTCTGGTTGAAATTGTTTGAGGGATTCCAAGCCTGTTTCTGGTCACCCCATAAAATCTCAATGAGACCTCAAGATCTGGGCTTTGACTGAGTCCAGAAATTTCTTCTTTCTCAGCCAGACCTTATTGGAGGACTGGTATGTTTTGAGCCATTGCCATGACTCAGACAATATAAGTAGAAGGTCCACTAGTGCTTCATTTTTAGATTATTATTACAACCTTCAACTTTTTTGACATCCATGAGCTGGCCAGGAGCTTTTATCTGATCACCATATCTGTCCTTTCACAAAACAAATGGCTGCAAGAAGGTATTTTAATCCTGGCTTGAAGTGTTCTCTGAAAGGATCTTGCCATGGAAAAATGAAAGTCCTGTTGTGGGAGTATTATTGATATCATGTTTATTTATTTAACTGGTCAAGAAAGCCACGGCCTTTTGAGGTAGAAGAAGAGGAGGCTGGAAAAAAAGCAACATTTAAAATTCCCCAGATTAGACAAAATAAACATCAAAACCAATAAAAAAAAAAAAAATACAGCACTTAGAAAAACATGATGCTCACACAAAAGGGGATTTTATAAGCTATGAAGCAACCAAAAATAATTGGTTGCAAAGCCTTGCAGAGAGCAGCAAATGTCTTTAAAATGATCTTTGATCGAAGCTTGAAAAGCTGCTTTGGAGATGAAAGTATTCAGTTTTGGGATTTTTTTTACATCATTCCAGTCTCTCACTGCAGCAGACTGAAAAAATTAAATGCGTGATACAAGTAGTTTTTGGAAGTGGCAGCAAAATCACATTTCAGATCGAGTGCTATATGTAGAGGATAAGAAGGAATACGTATTGTTAAGATCAGAATTATTTACAGTTATATTTAAAGTAATCTTCCAACTTTTACCAACATGTTTCTGTTAACGGGCAGAAATATGAACATTTTGAGGAAGTCCAGCCAGAGTCTAGGCTTGAACCTATGAGGAAGCCAAAGATTAGGCTGATTGTTAATGACATGCTGATAGCACATTAATGATAAAGCCATAAAATTACAAAAAATGCAAAAAAACTGTTCACCAGTTGGAAGAATGATTAGTTTGCTTTAGGGACAATAAATATTTGTCAACTGATTATTGGCAAGTCTATTGATCACATTTTCAAGTAAAATTTTATTAAAAATTGATTAATAATTTTTCTTATCAAAATTTATGTTTTTATTTTGTTTCATTATGTTTTGAGAGACACAGATACTAATCTTGAATCTAATTCTGTCAGTGATATGAATTAACATAACTTTAGTACAGTCGTTAAAGGAGCTGTGCAGGTTAAGAGTGCAGACAACAGAAACAATCTGTTTGGTCAATATTAAGGGTAAGGATAAAATCACATCCCAAATGTCTCAGAAATATTTCTGAAAGCAAAATAGTGGTACATGCTTTCTTCAGTCTGATGCAATCAGTTCTTTTATTTTTTACAAGCTAGGCAAGAATGCAGTAACATGTGGAGATTAACACATCCAATTTGCTCTTTTCCTCTGTCTCTAACTGCTTGCTTTCTTTCAGCCTCTTCCACAGTCAGAGTACAACAGCAGCCCAGAGACTGTGGGCTACCGGATCCGTGTTTGGAGGACAGATGGAGATGGGGAGGACAGAATTGAGGACATAAAGGGTGGAGTTGGAACCACTGAAGCCACAATAGATGGGCTAAGTCCCTGGACCCACTACCAGGTTCAGATCCAGGCCTCAAACTCCATAGGACCAGGACCATGGAGCCAAACAGTCCCAGCATGCACCGCAGAGGCTGGTACAAACACAGAACTCATTCACTCCGTTTTTCTGCTTCTAAGCATCCAACTTAGATAAGTTTGACAAATTACTTGCTGGGGATAAAAAGGCAGATGGATGAGAAATAAAGTGATATTAAAGCCGCTAGCGGCGACGTGCGGCCCTCGCAGCCAAGCGCCGCTCCGGCCTATTGGCCACCGCGGGGGTACTGTGGGCTACACGGATCCGCCCGCCAGCCACCACAGAAGCTTTGACGCAGTTTACAGCACCTCCGCATGCATGGCACCACGGAAGCTGTTGCGCAGTTTTCACATGATGAAACCCATATAAATGATAGAACAGAAAAACATGCAGCAGAAAAAGCAGGTTACTGCCTCTTAAAAGTGGGCGGGGCTAGGGTGATGTCATCAAGTGACCATGGAAATGTGTTGAGGACTGTTCTGAAGAGAGACATAGGAAGTCTGATGCAGCTGTGATCTTGCATTTGGAAGTTATTTAATCTTGATGTTTCATGGCGTATAGTCAAAGTTTAACTCTAAGCTATGCCCACATGCTTTGATGTTAACTACATCTGGGATCTAAATGCGGTGCAACTTTAACCTTATCCTAAAATGAGTCAGGAAAATGTTAAAGGTTAAGATCTCCCAGTTTAATAAACCATACTGCTCAGTAATAAACCAAGGGCAATGCACATTAACAGAGCACAGTTAACTTTCAGCACATTAGAACAATAGCACAGGCTGAATCCCACCCATTAATTAGGAAAAGGAAGTGCTACAACTAAGTATTACAACCCCAATGGATCGGCAATAAGATATTTTACATTTTCTCAGAGCTGTTCGAAACAACCCTTAAACAGCTTATATACATAACAACAAACAAGGCTGAATGTATGAAACTGGATGTATCAAACACACTATTCAGTTTCTTGAATTAGTGAAGTGCTCCGTTAGCTTTACAAACCTTGCAGGCCTTAGGGGCTCGGTCAGCATCGTCCTCGGAAGAGCAGTTTTGGCGGCTCCCAGAACCAGCACGAGGAATGGGTTACTCACCGCACTGCGAGTTACTTGTTTTTAAACGAACGGCAATGAAACTGCTCCAACTCCGGTCCAACAGTCCGTTCCGGCTCACGAGCGTGGTTCGGGTCTTCAGCTCCAAAAGTCATGCAAAATGTTCAGGAAAAGTTATCAGCTCCAACTGGTTAGCAAAAAAAACAAAAAAACATTTACAGTCCACAGCAGAATGGGCCGAACCTCGACCATGAACGGCCGCGGCCGACTGCCAGTTCGTAGCAGCTTACGTACTGGCAGTCATAAGCTGCCAGTACGTAAGCTTACAACTTACGTACTGGTAACTGATGGATTAGTTGTCCATCACAACCAATCAAAATGCTTAAATTTGATTTTGCCCTTGACTGACCAGTAAGGTAGGGACAAGTGAAATTGATGCATTTACTTGCTGTAGTAAATAACCATGCCGCCACGCCCACCTGCTTTATGGAAGCTGGTCGGGTTGGAATCCTCAACACACCAACATGTCTTCTGTGTCTGGGCACAGTTTCATGTTGATGAGGTCAAAGGGGTCAGATAGCGACCATTCACAGTAAAACATTACACTTCCTGTTCTCAGGGGGCGTGGCCTAAATGATGTCATCATTCGACCATAGGGTATTGTAGGACACCCGATGATGATAAATCACAGAAACTTTGCTGCCTCTGTGAGTTTCTGTGTAGGAGATATAGCAGTTTATTTTTTTATGGCGAGTAGGTGAACTTTGACCCCTGCTAATCCCCCTTGAGCATACTCAAAAACTCACAGTTTTGATAACTTTAGATGGGACATGCCTTATGAACAGACTGACCAAGTTTGAAGCCGATCAATCGAGATCCCTAGGAGGAGTTTGATCAAATACGAAGGCTGCAAACTGCAAAAATGGGGTCAAAATCCAAACTTCAATCTAAAATGGCCGACTTCCTGTGATTCTTTCACTATGACATTCATTGTAAATTTTGAGGGCCTTGGGGAGCTCTACAAGTGTACCCAATTTCATGTCTCTACGATGAAGGAAGTGAATAGAAAAGGGTCCTATGAAAATTTTTAGGTGGCGCCGTTGAGCCATTTCTCTTGCGATTTTTGCGACGACTTTAAAATACAAAAATGTTAAACAGGCTTAAGGCCTCCGCCAAGTTTGGTGACTTTTTGAATATGATAAAGCCCCCAAAAAGCCAATTCATTCGGAGGGAGAATTGTAATAATAAGAAACGGCAAGAAAACAATAGCCCTTCGCAGCGCTTCGCTGCTTGGGCCTAATAATTATTTTTCTCTGTTCTCCTCTCATTTTGCCACATCTCCCTGGCCTTTACTCACTCCCTCAATTTCACAGAGGGGAAGATTGATGGAGAGAGGGAGGCAGATGACTGAGGTAAAATTGAAGATTGGTTCAGAGAGTCAAGTGGCACTGAGTGGCGTATTTGTGCGCATGTTTCTTTGTCTGTTTTTCAGCTCCATCTAGATCTCCAGAAAATGTAACTGCTGAGGCAGTGAGTTCCTCCAGGATCATACTCACCTGGTCTGCTCTTCCTGAGACACAAAGGAACGGACTCATTATTGGGTATAAGGTGAATCAAAACTCTCAAGCAGCTACAGAGACTCTTGAACCAACCTTAATGTTCTCACTTGACTCCTCACTTCTTCCAGCACATTCTGCACACTCACATCCACGCAGACCTTCACACACAAAAAAATCTGTTACAGGAAGGAGGAACATGATATACACTCCTGATCAAAATCTTAAGACCAGTCAAAAAATTGCAAGAATTTGCATTTTGCTCTCATGGACTTTTAGTTTTTGAGTTTTAGACAGAGCCAGCTGCTGTTTGACGCCTCTGCACAACCTGAAGCTCCATTGTTCTATTGAAGGAAAACGCACCCCAAATCTTGATGGCGCCCCCACCACTGTGCCGTGTAGAAAACATCTCAGGTGGGATCTCCCTGTCATGCCAGTAACGTTGGAAGCCATCAGGACCATCAAGGTTAAACATTTTCTCATCAGAGAAGACAACTTTCTTCCACCTTTCAATGTCCCATGTTTGGTGCACCCTTGCAAAGTCCAAACGGACAATTCTGTGGTGTTGAAGAAGACGTGGCCTTTGAAGACGTTTTTTGTTTCTGAAGCCCTTCTCTCGCAGATGTCGTCTGATGGTTATTAGGCTGCAGTCAGCACCAGTAATGGCTTTAATTTGGGTAGAGGACTGTCCCGTGTCTTGACGGACAGCCAATCGGATCCTGCGGCTCAGAGCTGGTGAAATTGTTTTGGGTCTACCACTTGACTTTTTTGTTCCATAACCCTCAGGATCATTTAAAAAATGCAAAATGACTGTCTTACTGTGTCCAACCTCAGCAGCGATGGCACGTTGTTAGAGGCCTTGCTTATGCAGCTCAACAATCCTGCCACGTTCAAAGTCAGTGAGCCTTTTTGCTTTTGCCATCAGGAGGTCTTGACAGTGTAAAGACTTCACAGAACATGACATGGAATCCAGATTTTTGCACAGCTTTTGGCTTTTAAAGACTATGGTCTTAAACTTTTGATCAGCTGAAAAAGTCATGTTTGAGTGTAAATGCAGTTTTCAGAAAATTCCCTGCTCAAATGTTCTTGTCTCTTGCACTGATTTTGTCTTTTAACATTGTGAAGCTCTACTTAGAACCTTCTTAAGATTCATTAGTGCAAAATGCTAATTCTTGCAATTTTTTGACTGATCTTAAGATTTTGATCAGGAGTGTAATATTCTTTAACTGTTCCTGTTAGTTCCTCCACTATGGCTTTTTAAAACCAGCATGCTGCAATAATTGTGCATTGAATTAAGAAAGGCTTATTTTCCTGGAAAACACAGTAGTGGTGTCAGGTCGTACATGAAGCAATGATTGGATTATGATTTTATCAAAAACAAAAAGGGGTAATGACTACGATTTGTTGGTTTTGGAAGATTCTCTGTAACTAAAATATATGACTTGCTGTTTGGCAAAAACTCAAAAGTTTTGTGTGCAAAGTCACAGTGTGAATAGTTTTGATAGTTAAGTCCAGACTCTCAACCCACCAAGAGCAACAGATCCTGCAGATTATGTTCAAACTAAAGTAAAGAGGAAAGGTCTATCATGTTGAAAGGCTAAATAGTAACATGGCTCATCTATTTAGACATGCAGGTCACACGCCTGGCACCTTTTGGTCTCATTTTCAGCAATGTGGAAACAAGTTGTTACAAAAAATTACAATAAATTATTGAAATACAGGTACATTTAAAAACATTTGAATGGTGCAAAAAGTTCAATATTTTTGTCACACATTTCAGAAAATGAAACTATTGTTTTATTACATGTAAAATTAGATGTTTCAGCTTTTATTGTTTGTAATTTTGATTACTGCTTACAAATATTGTCAACCAAAAATTCAGTGTCTCAGAAAATTACATTATTGTGAAAAAGTTATATATATACTTGAAACTTGTGGTTCCTAACCCTAATCAGCTAATTAACTCAAAAGGTTTGGGAACCTTTATTTATTCAGTGACTACATGTTTGCAGCTTTGAATGTGAAAACACTTTCAGTCATGAGATAGTTTTAGATCAAAATAGGAACTTTTTTGACATTTTAGGTCTCTCAATCTTAAAAATGTGATTTAGGAAACCTTTTATAAACAGTGTTTTTGCTTTGGCTTTCCTATTCTGGTATCAGGTTTGATAATCTGAAATATTTCACTTTTCAAGAAAACAAAAGCTCGAAAAACCATTAAAGGGGCAAACACTTTTTCTCAGCACTGTAAATGAGTCTATGTTCATGCATTTTATTCTTTTTGACAAAATCCAGGTCATCGTAGAACATGCCCAAAGCACATCACACCTTATATCTCTGTTCCTTCCTGTAGATCACACTTAGCTGCATGCCCACCATGTTAATAGATGGGAAGGGACTGCCAGTAGCAGCTCTCTTAACACCTTCCACTGCCTAATGTTGAATAGCCATCCATAATGCCCTACTGTGCCTGACTTGTGTCTGATTTCATTATTACATCTTTAATTTTCAGGTGACATTTTTTTTTATCTCATGTGGCTTTAAGAGAAATGACTTGTTCAAGTTTGTGAGTTCTAAAGCAAGGAGAGGATGACCTTGAAAGAACAGCTTCTGACAGATTTTCATTCTAGCTGTTTTTGTCAATGATGGCACACTGTGTACTGATTTGCATTTTTTGGGTGTAATAATAATTGTTGCACCACAGACTATTATCTGAAAGATTCATACTATTATTTATTTCACACAGTTCTAATCTCAAAAATAAATCTGAGGTAACTTTACACTATGTGCACAATTATTACCCAAGTTGTAGTTTTTAGGATTAATTTTATTGTTGAACAACTGTCACTCTTGATCAAATAATCTCTCAAACCTGAATATTTAATAAAGCAAAAGTTTTATTTGGGCTTTTTTAGGACAATATCCATGTGCACAATGATTGGGCAACTATTTGTGTGCAGAATTATTACGCAACTGAATTAAAATTGAACATTTTCCCATCTCCCCATTAAAGTCAGAATAATAAACATGGAACTCCATGTTGGCAAACATTTCTGACATTTAAATATAAATCAGTGACCAACATAGCCACCCTTCTTTTCAATAACATTTATAAACCTTCCATTCTGTCAGTTTGTTGATCTGTTGATGATCAACTTTTTGTGCAGCAGGAACTACTGCCTCCCAGTCACTGTTCAAAGATGTGCTATCTTTTCCTTCACTGTAAATCTCTCGTTTAAAAAGGGCCCACAAGTTCTCAATGGGGTTTAAGTCTGGTGAGGGCCACTTCTTACATCTTTAATGTCTTTACTGGTTGGGCACATAGTGGAGCGCTTTGATGTATGTGACAGAGCATTGTCCTGCATAAAAATCTTGGTCTTCTTAAAACATTTAATTTTTTTTCTGTACCACTGCTTGAAGAAAGTGTCTTCTAAAAACTGTCCGTAGGTTTGGGAGTTGATTTTGAGTCCGCCTTTAACCCGAAAAGATCCGACTAGCTCATCTTCAATAATACCAGCCGATACCAGTACCGCACCTCCACCTTGTTGTCATCTGATGCGAAGTGGAGCTCTGTGCCCATTACCGATCCACCACAGGCCCATCCATCTGGTCTGTCTGAACATCTCATCTGTCCATAAAAACTTTGAAAAATCTGACTTCAGATCTCATTTTTCACCCATGTTGCCTGTGGAAAAGAAGCTGCCTAATGATTTTGCACACCTTGATTTTAATCTCCTAAGGCCCCACCCTCCCTCATTAAACAAATATACATCAGCTGATATGTTTATATTCAGTAAACATTCAAGTCTAAAGAGCTCAGAGTTGGAAAATATTCATAAAAATGTCATATAATTAAAACTTGCCTAATAATTGTACACACAGTGTATGGCTTGGTCTTGCGCTATCTGTGTATCCATGTCTAATTTTTGGCATCAAAGTATATAAGACATCTGTAAGCAGTTAAGATTAATGGCAGTGTAGGATACAGCAAACTAGATGTTTAATGTTTTTCTTTCATTAATTAATGTTTTTTCCTCTCATTTTGCACAGGTGTTGTACCGTGAGAAAGACTCAGACACTCCCCCTAGTGTTCAGGTGGTACAAGGAGACAGAAATCTAACACTGCTTCTGAGTTCCCTTCAAAAATATAAAATGTATGCACTGCAAGTGTTGGCGTTCACACAGGTTGGAGACGGCCCTGCCAGCAGCCCTGTCCTCCTCAGAACCAAAGAAGACGGTAGGAATTACAGGCTTGTGACCAGAAGTTTCTTTATCACATGTCCCTCCTCTTCTCACCTCTTCCTGTCTTTTTTTCTTCTTTCCACCTCAGCTGTCATCACAGACATATGTGGATACTTTCTCCTTATAATGTGTAGTTGCCAATGTAGAGACCTGATAACCATTGGAGGCACTTTCACGATGCACACAAACACACACGTGTTCAGAAAGGATGACACAACATACGCCCTCACACAAACCAGCAATCATCCTCTGTCAAGCAATGACACATTTGAAAAGTTTTTCTCATTTAAGGATAAAACAAAATGGCAAAGTCAATTCCCAGGAATGTATAACGAACCTCCATTTTGTCTGACACACACACTCACAAACACATGCCGACACATAAACTAACTGCAGGCTTATGAATGTGTGCACACTCAAGCTGAAATGTATTTGCTGAGGTGGAACATGTACTTTTATCAGCAGCAGTGTCAAAGTGGGCATAAAGTTAAAATGAAATTACTTTTTCTTATTTTGCCCTGTATAGTTTTCCTCTTAAGAATTCAGTGTAGCTGAGAGTTGTGCGTATATTTATCATGGGATTTGCATCGACACATTTAAATTTACTCAGGGAGGAATGCTCATTTAACTCAGGGGTGTCCAAACTTTTTGTCATGTGGGCAAAAGTCGTTTATTTAAAAAAACTTCCGGGTCAAAAAGACAAAGAGAAAATTACTACGTGTAGTAGTAATTTTTTTTTGTCTTTTGTAGATTTGTAGAAAAGAGAGGTTATTAATTGTTTAACATAAAAAAAGGATTTTCAGGCTTTGCTTTATTAAAAGAAAAGCATCTTGTTTTCAAATTCTTTGGGGCTCAATATAAGAAATTTAATAAGAAAAAAATTTAAGGTCACGTTCTTTTAAAATGCTCGTTATACATAGCCAAATTCAGAAATTTAAATAAAAGTAGATTTTTGTGCAATAAAGTCAATAAAAACATCTGGATAAACCCGGTTCTTATCATAAAAGCATGTTTATAAAACAACACTTTGTTATACCTAACTTTTTCCATTAAGATAAAATTACATTGATAATTTCATTGTGATTTAAAAATAAAAAGTCAATTTGGACAGGCCAAATTTGTGTTATTCTCAAACTGCTATTGTGGGACCAACAAACTCAGTCCAAGGGCCACAAGTGGCCCCCACGCCACACTTTGGACACCTTGGTTTAACTAAAATCTTTAATGAGTCTTAAAAACTGGAATTGGAGGACCAGTGTGTCTATTATCCACACTGGATCAAAACGACTCTGTCAGACTGCCCCAGGGCAGCTGAAGCTATGCAGTAGCTTGCCACAATCTGTGTATGTGCGTGATTGGGTGAATGACTAATGTGAAGAACTTGGGATCCTCTGGATGTGATAAAGTGCTATACAAGTACAAAGCCATTTACCACTTTCCATATACACATACTTCTCCACTTACACTTTAGGAAATGTTCTTGAACAAGTTTAGGAAATCCCAGCTCTTCCTGTTTCCATGAGCAAAGTCCTGTAAGACCTCCAACTAGATAGATGACCACTCCCAAACCTACAATAGGCAGAGTTTATTTAAACTGGTTGTTTTTGTTAGTCAGTAAAAAAAATAACTTGTTTCTTTGCTCAACTTTATTCCGACATGTGCATGCCCCGAACAGACAACCAAAGCCATCGAAGAAGAGCACAAAACAAAAACATAGTAGCCCTCGTAGGTGGACATGTAATACAAACAAAACAAAGGAGTAACAATCTCCCACTTTTCTTTAAAAAAGAAACAAAAAAAACATAAGGCTTATGAGAAAGCATAGCCATTAAGGATTTTGTTAGTACAGTTTCAACGTGATAGAATGTGAAACATTTTGTGACTGAATTTATTGAATATTCCAAAGTCCTTCATAAAGAGCCTTAAGGAGTGAGGTTGCAGATGCTCCCTTCTTTGTTAAACAGTCCACGAGTTGGTCTTTTGTTTGAGACCACAACACTTGATGAACTTTCTTAGTTTGAATCAGCTTTTTAATTGAACTGATTTCCAGACGTAACCTTTTCTCTGCAACAAACTTAGTTGACTTAAGTGCATCAATAAGAGAGAAATGATAAGTCACACATATTATAAGTGGAGGACAAGCAGTACTACCAGCACTGAGTTCAGAAAAGAGTGTGGAAAGAAAAATGGTATTATCAATCCCCTCAGACATAGCAAGTGTTTCACCTGCCAGTGTGCTTCTGACAATTCTCTTAATTCTCTTTGATTGCCATGGAATGGCCCGTTGTCACCCTTGAGTACCCCATCTGAAAGATTTCCAAAAGATGTATCAGTGAATGTAACCATCTTTAAGTTACTGTTGTTCCCAAGGTGTTGAGATTTCAATTCAACTGACTTGGCCTTGAGCTTACACACAACTCAACTCAGTTTGCTTCATATATGGTCTGTACTGTCACATGTTTGAGACGAGATGCTAAATTACTAGCATCAAACAAGACATCAGGCCTGCTCTGTCTTGCCACCCACAGAAGTTGGCCTAACTTAGGTCTGAGCTGCTCTGTCTCCTTTGCAGTGAGAGGTGAAGCCGACTGCTGCTTGTGAGAGTGAGAGGTGTATGGACTGCAGGTGCTGAATGTTCTTGGTGTATTTGTACCTTCTTACATTCAGTAACAATATCTACCCCCACACAGGAAAAGCTATTGTGTGCTTCATGACCAACATTAAACTTTGACCTCAGGTGAGGTCTGACTGACTGAAAACATGTGTGATCCACCCCATATAAAATCATCAACATGACAAGCAAGTACACCAGTTACATTTTTGCGCTCATCCAGCCAATGGAAAACTGCAGGGTCAACCTTAGACATGATGCTTCCTGCTTCAATCATGATGCTTTTTACCCTGTTATACCAATACAGTGCAGCATCAGCTAAACCATACACACATTTAATCAGTTTCCAAATAGCACAGGTGTTCACCTGTGCTATTGGCCTCTAGGGGAGTATGATGAAAATGTCTCTGGACAGTTGCATTCCTTGTAAAAAAGCAGATTTAATATCCATAGAGTGAAGTTCCCATTGTTTTTGACATATAACTGCCACCGAAAGTCTCAGTGACTCTGAGGCACAGGTTGGGGAGTCCTTTTGTAGGTCAGAAACTTGAAGCTCCTCAAATCCTCGTGCAGCAAGTCTTGCCTTTGGTATTATTCCATTTTCAGTCTCTTTCAGAGTGCACACCGAACGAGTGGAGACACAATTTTGTCCTTTGTCCTCAATTTTTCAAACACTTGGTTCTGTTTCCAACTTTTTATTTCATTTTTCTTTGCTTCATCAAACGATATGTTCTTACTCACAAAAACATCCTCATGCATATCTGTATCCTCAGCATCATCCTGGATGTGAAGATCCTCCAACTATGACAGATCAGCTGACTCACTGTTGCCAGCCACTTCTGCTCGCTCAAGCAGCTCCAAGTTAAACCAGTTCTTGTATTTCCCAGTTGCTTTGCTGGCATGTCCCAACACTTTAGCATTTTGTGAGACACCCTCTGCATTTCTGAATGTCACAATTTGATCTGTCTTTATGATGGTGTTCCCAGAGTGCTGTCTCTCAGCCTCTGCATTTTCAGGAGTAGGCAAAGGATGATTCTCAGAATTTACTGCAATAGTGTCTCCTCCTACATTTTCTTCAATGATGTCCATTGTATGCTGTCCTTGATTGTCCTATTCATTGCAGGTAATCTGAGGTCCTTCATTCTCGTGAGTAACTTTTCTCAATCTGAGTTGATGCACTCTGACACAGGTACCTCTGTGTCTAACAAAAAAACGGCTTTATCATCTTGGCCAATCACCACTCCTGGTCCTTTCCATTCTGGACAATCCACTTTTGTAAAAGACTTTGTCTCCAGTTTCATATCGCTCGTCTATGGGCCGCAGCTGTTTCTTTAGTGCTCTGCGTATCCTTTCTGAACATTCTGCTTCTGTGAAAGCTTTTCTTGCAGCTTGCAGGGCTAAAATGTGCTTGGCAACCCATTCACTCTTGATGGTGCCCTCTGGAGATGGAGCTTTGTCTATTAATACAGAAGGCAGGTTAGGATTCTGCCTGAACACCAGATGATGTGGGCTATATCCATGGACACTTTGCATAGTGTTCTTTGCCGTCAGGGCCCAGTCCATGGCAGTGCTCCAGTCACATCCAGTACTTGCTTTGACTTTCAGCAGGATGTCCGTCAGAGTTTGATTGTGGCGGTCTAACAGTACATTGCTTCACAGACTGTAAGCAGGTGCTGTTTTAATTTCAATATTAAAGTTCTCAGCCATGTCTCTCAGTTCCTCATTCTTAAACTCACCACCATTGTCACTGAACAACGTTTGTGGTGAGCCATGCACACTGATCCAATCATGGATAAAACGTTTAACTATTTCAGAAGACCTCTTGGTGGTTAAGACACTATCAGCACTGAAACGGATGAACTGGTCAATATGTGTAGGTACCAAACCCCAGTTTCAAGTTTGTGCAATTGTTTCATTGTATGTAGATGCCAATGGTAAGCCGACAGCAGGTTTTGGTTTGGTCTTACAAACCAACGAGTTTGGCGACAAGTTATCTGGACCCTAAACAACGGCACGACATGAAAGTTTTATCCGGAGGGACGGAGAAAAGGACCAAATAAAGCAGGAGACAAAACGAAACCTAGCAAAGCATCCGTGAGTAACAGTGCATAGCACACAGGGAAAGGACAAACGGACAATATCTGGATTTAATGTCCAAAATGGCTAGCGTTGGGAAAGTAGAGGAGTTTGATAGCACAAGTGGAGACTGGGAATCATACATAGAGCGAGTGGAGTTGTACTGCGACGCTAATGATATCGAGGATGAGAAAAAAACTTCTGTCCTCCTCAGTCTAATGGGAGCTAAAACTTACAGTCTACTTCGTAACCTTCTGAGCCCTGCCAAACCGTCGAGCAAGTCATATAAAGACATTGTTGATACGTTGCAGAAGCACTTGAATCCCGCACCACTCGTGATAGCGGAAAGACTCAGATTTCATAAGAGGAATCAAACGAAAGATGAAAGCATATCTGAGTATATGGCTGAACTGCGCAAACTCTCGCAGCATTGTGACTTTAAAACGGGACTTGATGATGCCTTGAGAGATCGACTGCTATGTGGTATGCACTGTACAAGCATACAAAAAAGGCTACTGTCCGAAAAAGAGCTAGATTTGAAGAAAGCACTCGTACTAGCTATCTCAATGGAAACAGCAGCTAAGGGTGCATCAGAGCTATAGAAGAAAAGCTTAGAAAACAAAGTGCATCAAATGTCTTTGAATAGGAAAAAGCAAAAATGCTACAGGTGTGGTATATCCTCACACAATGCAAACGACTGCTGTTTCAAAGAAAAGACATGCAGGAAATGCCACAAGCAAGGTCACATAGAAAGAGCATGCAAATCAGACCAAACAAATACTCAAAAAGGAAAATCTGAAAAGAACAAAGTTTTTAAATTTAAATCAAAGGCCAAAGCAACTGAAATGCACAAAGTTACAGAACATTCTGACAACACAAACAGCAGTGAAGACGATGACCTGTCATGCTTAGAGCTGCATAGTATAACCGAAGAAGACAGAAAAATAATATGGATCACAACTACAGAGTCTGGAGTGAAACTAAAGATGGAACTGGACACAGGTCCAGCTTTGTCAGTGATCTCTGAAACCGATTATGACAGGCTGTTCTCCCACTTACCACTGAAAAAGACATCAGTGGTGTTAAAAACCTACAAAGGTGAAAAAGTGTCACCAAAAGGTAAACTTATAGTGAATGTGGTCTATGGTGACCAAACACACAAGCTAGAGCTCTATGTCCTGAAAACCACAGGCCCAGCACTACTGGGGCGTGAATGGATGAGAAGAATTCAGCTTGACTGGCATGCAATAAAAGCCCTGAATATCTCAACAGGCCTCAAGAGCTCCACCCGGAGGCCTGAGCAGAGATTGCCACAGTTATTGGAGGCTCATGCACATGTGTTTGAGAAAGACATTGGTAAACTAAAACGCATAAAAGCAAAAATTGAACTTGACAAAGACAGACGCCGAACTACAAAGCTTGGAGGCATCTGGCATTCTCTCAAAAGTTGACTGGAGTGACTGGGCTACACCCATTGTTCCGGTAATGAAGAAAGGAAAAAGTGAAGTGCGTATATGTGGGGACTTCAAAGTAAGCATCAACCCGGTGCTGCGCACAGTGCAGTACCCCATGCCACGAATAGAGGACATCTTCTCATCATTGGCTGGTGGGGAGAAGTTTTCAAAGATTGACTTGTCACAAGCCTATCTCCAGATGGAAGTGGAGGAGTCAAGCAAAAAGTTCCTAACCATCAACACTCATAAGGGACTTTACCAATACAATCGTCTTGTGTTTGGTGTTGCTTCAGCTCCAGCAAACTGGCAAAGAGCCATGGATCAGGTGCTCCAGGACATACCTGGAACACAATGCTACCTGGATGATATTATCATAACAGGAAAAGATGATGATGATCATCCGTATGGCATTGGCGCAGTCCTGTTACACACGATGGATAATGGACTTGAACGCCCAATTGCATTCGCTTCAAGGTCCTTGTCAAGTGCTGAACGCAATTATGCACAGATTGACAGGGAAGCCCTTAGCTTAGTATGGGGTATCAAAAAGTTCCATCATTACCTCTATGGCCGAAGGTTTACCTTAGTGACAGATCATCAGCCCCTAGTATCAATATTCAATCCACGAAAAGGAATTCCAGTGATGTCAGCTGCACGACTACAGCGATGGGCTCTGTTCTTAGGAGCACACTCATATGACATCGAGTTCAAGGGGACTAAACAACACTGCAATGCTGATGGATTGTCACGCCTTCCATTGTCAATGTCTGTGGAGGAACCACCATCAAAAGGTGATCCAGCTGAAATGTTCCACACAACACTGGTAGACCAGTTGCCAGTTACAAATGCCATGATAAGAAAAGAAACGCGGAATGACCCAGCACTTTCCAAGGTGTATGACATCACAGTACAAGGCTGGCCTGCCCATGGGAATCCATGTTTTCCTGAGTTTTCAGCAAGACGTGACCAGCTGTCAGTATGCCAGGGAACCTTGATGTGTGGATCACGTGTGGTAGTGCCTCCAAGCTTCGCACCAGAGTGTTGGAAAGCCTGCATGAAGCTCATGTAGGTACAGTGAAAATGAAAAGTCTGGCCCGTAGCTATGTATGGTGGCCAGGGATAGATAAACAGATTGAGGACATCACTAAAACCTGCCCAGGATGCCTGAGTGTTCAAAATGCACCACCACAGGCTCCCTTACATCCGTGGGAATGGCCGTCTGCACCCTGGCAGAGAGTGCACATTGATTTTGCTGGTCCATTCATGAACTCTATGTTTCTCATAGCTGTGGACGCTCACTCAAAATGGCCAGAAGTAATCCCAATGAAATCAACAACATCAGAAAAGACCATTTCTGTTCTGAGAACCATCTTTGCCTGAGCAAATTGTGAGTGGCAATGGCCCACGATATACTTCTGAAGAATTCCACGATTTCATGAAAAAGAATGGTATCAAGCATTTCAAGTCAGCACCTCATCATCCAGCAACAAACGGGTTAGCAGAATGGTTCGTACAAACATTCAAAAAGTCCATAAAAGCAATGACAAAAGAAGACATCTCTCTTCAACACAAAATTGACAATTTCCTTCTGGTGTACCGCAATTCTGTCCATGCAACAACTAATCAGACACCTGCAATGCTGTTTATGAAAAGACAGCTCAGATCTCCCATTGACCTTCTGAACCCGAACCTGAGGAGAGAAGTGCAGAACAAACAGTTCAGCAACTTTTCGAGTGAACCGCCAAGGAGATTCGATGTGGGTCAGCAGGTCCTGGCATGTGACTACCGAGGGGAAAAATGGACGCCTGGAAAGATAATCACTCAGAGCGGCCCTCTGATGTACGAGGTGGACACTGGAGAGCATACCTGGAGACGTCTGTGGATCAGCTGTTGAATGCTCAACTAAAGACACCAGAGCAACTGGCACGTCTACCTGATCCTGCAACCAACTCTGAACCCAGTACAATGACACCCCCAGTTGCTGAGGAAGTGCCCCCTACCGAGCGCACCCCACAGGTCCCCAGGCGTAACCCTGAACGACTCAGGGCACCCCCTAAAAGATTGGATTTATGAGTTTTATTTGTGGGACTTATGTTGTTAAAAAAAAAAAAATAAATAAAAAAATTGAGGTTTTGATGTGTGTTACCTGGTTTGCAAATTGTGTTTAAAATATCGGAAATGTTATGTGTTACTTAGATTGTAGAGCATTACTCTAAAAGTGGAGGAGTGTAGTATAGTGGATGTATTTGCTTTAGCGGAGTCACTCCCCTTTTTGCTGAGTTGCCTTCTATGTTATGCGCCTGCGCATTGATATATTGTTTTCGACACTGAAGTGAATATCATAAAAGTCACGTTCATTTGAACCTCTGAGTCGAATCTTTATTTATGTTGGAGTAAAGACACAACAGAGGTTGTTATTGAATCTTAATGCCAGTCTGCTTACCACCATGCTTGATAGTTGGGTTGACATTGGGGCTTTGGAATTACATGCTTTCAGTATATTTTTGATATACGACTGGTTTACCTTGTGGTTATTCATTCTGCTGTTTTTTAAGTTTTGTTTTAATACACATTTATTCTGCTGCGAACAACCTTAACTATTTTTATTTCCAGTACCTGGTCCCCCAATCCGTATGATGTTTCCAGAGGTTCGACTGACATCGGTTCGGGTGGTCTGGCAGCCTCCTGCGTTTCCCAACGGCATCATTTTAGGTAAAAAAGAAAAAGAAAAGAAAAGATTTCCAGAGATGCTCACAAAATAACATAGAATCACAAATAACTGTGGTGGTCCTTTAAACCAGGGATTCCCTAGTTGAGACCCTGAAATCTTTCCACCACACCTGATGTTGATGCTGTTGTGCAGGGTGATGGTAATTTGTTACACTTGACATTCTCATCCTCCACTTGTGGAAGCACTCTTGCTACCCTACATAGAATGCCGCCCTGGGTAGTTGTCCATGTTGCACATATCAGAAACCCTCACTGGTCCAGACCCCCTGAATAGAGCACTATTCAGGGGGTCTGGATCAGTGAGGACCAGTAGATCAGAGGGCTGGTTTTTACTAGGCTGAGGTTCATTAGAAAATAAATGTATCTAAAATTTGCAAGATGGCAGACTGGATGACTGACACCCATACTTCAGGGGAAGTAGGGAAGTAAAAGTCATAAGATAACAAAGAGCTTGTTCAGTCTTCATCTTTCAGTTCACTCGGCTGGTGAAGTTTGTGGGTGTATGCACACTATAGTGTTCTGTTTTTTAAATTATTAAACTAGCATGTGTGAAAGGTTCCTTTTTTAAAATAGATGATGTATAGAATCACATATGACTGTTTTATGTATAAGTATGTTTCACTGGATTTGTTGAGCTGCAGAGCCAGTGACAAAGGGAAAAGAAAGGCAGGAAGGAGAAGTATAGAGATTAAAGGGAAAGATAGTATGAGTGTGTATGCTGAGCAGGAAATGGAGGTATTTGTCCTCTCAGCAGGGAAGGAAGTTTAGCAGGACAGTTTGAGTGATGTGTGACTGCATTCTGTTGGAGGGGAGGACATTTAGTGCGACACCTCCCTGTGACAGAAGGATGAGTGGGAGGGTAAATACCTCTTTCTCCATTACACCGACAAACACAAACGGTGTCCTTGTTGAGTGCATTTTATGTGTGCAAATGAAGATAGAAACAACTGTTGTGCACTGGTTTCCTTTGTGTTTGTGACTGCCTCATTTCTCTGCGGGTTCTCAGGGAATGGTTAAAGCAGAAGGCAGATGAAAGACAAACAATGAAAAGAAAAGTTGTGGAGTTTGATTTGGAAAAATGCATCTATGTTCCCTGACAATCTCTGTGGGAACATAGATGCATACAGTGTTTATATACTGTGTTTCAAGTGGATATATAATTTTTTAAATACATTTTAAAAATTTGACTAAAGATAACACTACCCAACAGTAAAATGGCAGATAATTGAGGCAGCATCATGCTGTAGGGTGTTGATTTTAAGTGGCATTTCAGAATGAATTGTGAGAAACATCAACTCAAAAGTGATCAATTTATTCCTTACATCATTCCTTACACCAAATAATTAGGCCTGTAATGATGCATATTAGATGTTTGAAAAGAGCTGCACGATTTTATAAAAATTAAAAAGGATAATGCAGGCCACAGCAGGAGGAATAATATAAGACCCAATGACTATCCTAGGATTATAGATGTAGATGAGGGATTATCCCTCATCTACCTCCAAAGCTTCAATATCCTAAAAATATTTCGCCCAGAACAAAACCATGCCTTGACCTAGATCAGGGGTGCTCAAGAGCTACCTCGAGAGCTACCGTCCTGCAACTTTTAGTTGCAGCCTTACTCCAGTAGACCAGGCTCAGCTATGAACAGGCCTGGTAACGAGTCATTCATTTGATTCAGGTGTGTTGGAGCAGGGATGCATCTGATAGTTGCAGGATGGTAGCGCTCCAGGACTGGACTTTAGCACCCCTGCCCTAGATGATTAGATTTGATTTTTGATCTGGCTGCTATCCTAAAGTCTTCCACATGCAGAACTCACATTAACATACAATCAGACTATCTGATGAGATTATCACTCACTCAACCAGATTAGGTGCCTCTGAGCAGAGTATTATCCTGGCAGTCGCACTATGACCTAATCACATCAGCCTATTTGTGTGTTTCTGCACAGTGTGCAGGAGGGCAGTGTGTATGAAGACTGTATTTGCAACCCATTACAATCTCAGTAATATAGGTCTTTGTGAGCAGTGTTGGCTTGTAGAAAGCTTGAATGGGGATCGCTGGTTAGTGTGTGTATGTGGGGGTTGGCATTATTACTTGACTTACTGCACTGGAGCCTGAGAAACACACACAAGCATTGTACACCATGGGTCATTGCCAAGGATACAGACAGGAGGTTGTTTGTTTATATAATGCCTCTGGAAGAATGTGTGGGTGTGTGTGTGTTTACGTTTATGTGCGTGTGTGTGTGTGTGTGTGTGTGTGCGTGTGTGTGTGTGTGTGTGTGTGTGTGTGTGTGTGTGTGTGTGTGTGTGTGTGTGTGTGTGTGTGTGTGTGTGTGTGTGTGTGTGTGTGTGTGTGTGTGAGATTTCATGAAGCTGCGGTCCTGGCGGTTCGGCATCAAAAGCATGACTTTTGTATCTTCAATGGGAAGAACCTACATGTGTCAAAGAATTTCAGACTGGGAAAATAAAGCACCCCAAAGATTTTATGGGCACTCCTGATAATACATCCTGCAAAAAGGCCTGAGAACTTCTGTTCCATTTTGTCACCTTACATCCACTCACTACCATGTTGGGATTTTAAATTGCACACAAAATAATGTGTAGCTGTGAAGATAAGGGAACAGATTGATTACATACATACACTGCACAAAAAATGAAGGGGACACCTAAACAGAACAATGTAACTCCTATTCAGTCACACTTTTGTGGAATCAATGTCACCAGTTAGGTAGTAACACTTATTCACCTGTTGCTGTGCAAAATGGAAAACTCAACAGGTGGAAATGAGAGGCAATTAGCAAGACAGCCCCTATAAAAAGTGATGCTGCAGGTGGTGACCACAGATCATTTCTCTGTTCTCGTCATTTCTGGTTGAAATTTTAGTCACTTTTTCAATTTGTCAGTGCTGTCACGCATTAAGGCATGATGAGGCTTTTTTTTTTTTTACAGCCCACTGAAGTTGCTTAAGAAGCGCAGCTAATTCTAGACTAAACATCAATGCAAGTGGTGGCAAGGTTATTTGGTGTGTCTCTGAGCACGATGTCCAGAGAATGGATTAGGAACCAGGAGTGGGCGAGTAAATCAGGAGAGATGAATTGGGCCATAGGAGACCTACAATCCAGCAGCAGGACTGCTACCTTGTCCTTTGTGCAACAAGGAACAGCAGGTCCACTACCAGAGGGGCCCTACAAAGTGACCTCCAGCAGGCTATAATGTGCATTTTCTATTCAAAAATAGACTATATCAGGATGGAACGAGGACCCAATATCCTCATATAGGGCCGGTGGTTACAGCCCAACTCTATGCAGGATGATTGGCATTTGCTAGAGAACACCATAAATTTCTCCATTGAGACCCTGTGCTCTTAGCAGATGACAGCAGGTTCACACTGAGAACATGTGACAGACATGAAGGATTCTTTAGATATTGTGGGGAGTATTATACTGCCTGCAACATCCTCCAGCATGGTGGTGGGTCAGTCATGGTGTGGGGAGGCATTTCTTTAAATGGCTACACAGCTCTCCATTTGTTAGTCAGCGGTGCCCTAACTGCCATAAGGTACCGGAATGAAATCCTCAGACCCACTGTAAGACCATATGCTGGTACAGTGGGGCCTGACTTCCTTCTGACAACTTTCTGCATGATGAGGGCACTGATTTTATGGACTGGCCTGCCCGTTCCCCTGACCTGAATCCAACTGAGCACATCTGGAACATTATGTTTTGGTCAATTCACCAATGCCACATCACAGCACAGACTGTTCAGGAGCTAACTGACGCTCTCATCCAGGTCTGGTAAGAGACCCCTCAGAACATCCGGCGTCTCATCAGCAGCACTCCAAGGAGTTGTTGGGAGGAGACGAGTACCAGAAGTCACACACACTACTGAGTCTCGTTTAGAAATGTCTTCAGGACCATTCACTGACACTGAACCAGCCTGTTATGTTATTGTCCACTTTCATATTGAGTGAGTCCAAATCCAGCTCTCCATGGTGTAATAATTTTGATTTATATTGAGATTTTTTTGTATTATTTCCTTCTCAAATCTAGTCCACTGTGTTAATAATAGTTTTTCGCTGACAAAATTTTTTCACTGGTAATTAAGATCTAAGATGCGTTATTTTAGTTTTACCTTTATTTTTGTGAGTCATGAATTTATTTATGACTCACTTTTTTACATTTATACAGCATCAGTTACAGTCATCAAATCTCTATTAAAAACTACTATTATTTATTTATTTTTTTTACATTTTTACTCGTGAATTGAAAATAGTCTGGAAAATAGCACGATGGCAATGCTGTCATAATTTCATATTTAGATGATTTTAGTTCTTGTGGGTACAAACACAGAATTCAACACCAAATAATTATTTTTTTTGTCTTTTCCTCCACTTTTCACTAGGCTACCAAATATCATACTGCCTTTACAGCAGGGACCCTCTGCGGTGGACCACTGTGGAAGTGGGCTCCAATGCTCGCCAGTTCACTGTCACAGGCCTCTCCTCTGAACACACCTACGTGTTTTGCCTCACAGCTCGCACTGCCATGGGCTGGGGCGAGCAACAGGAGGCCCTGGTAATTACCACTGAACGCAGAGGTAAAGAACACTCTGAAGCAGTATCCGGATCAGCATTCTGGTTGATTTATTGAAGTTATTTGACTATTTTCTGAATTATGAATCAAACTTTCTGAGGTGTCAGTGCAACAAAATGTGAAACCAACACTATCAGTAATAAAATTTGACCTGCCTCCTACAAATGATTAATTAAAGATTTGAAACCTGGAGAGACAAAAAGAATTTTCAAAGTTGTATTTATAAGAAAGGTGAGAAAGAGGCAGAGGGACAACAAATGTGAACTTTTCCACAGGAAAGAGGAAATACCACTCTACAGCTGAGCTTGGTCCAAAGATACTTTTTAATGATAGCACCATTCTAGATACTCTATCTGTGCATAGCAGGTTCAGAGCCCAGCACACAAGGTCTCACTGACGGAGCTCTGAACTGAAACAGGAGTATAATGAATGCTATTAGCTCTCTGGGCTTTTATTTCTGCACTGAGTCAAAATATCTGCTGTGGGAAATAAGACAAAACCTCAGAGACATTTTTGCTGCTATGTTTGCAGTGAATAGTATGTGGTTGATGGTTTGCTGATGTTGTTGCTTGTAGTTTTTGCAAGATTTGAAAGAAAAGTTGTTGTTTTTCTGTGAAGATACAAAAGTGTGTTCTCTGTGTGGGTGTGGATGCGTTAGTGTTCACTGAGGTAAGGTCCAATTAGAACACCTCCTGAAAATGTAATTTAATGTGATAAATAATAGCGATTGCATAATAAGCCATGTCAAAAAGGTCCAATTTAAAAAATCAGCATGTTTATTTTGTTTTGATGAAACAAAAAAGCTTTTACTGGTAACTTTTAATGTTTCTGCAGTTTTTTTGTGCAGATATCTCATGTGGAATTTGTAACAATAACTTTTCAACACAGTTATACTGAAGAATTGCAACGATGCATCTATGAGTGATTGAGCAAATGGAGAAACAGCAACCTCCTTTTTTAAAAGTGGGGTTGAAAATATTTTTACTCTCCCACTTTTTGACAAAAATCTAATCACAATCTGAAGATCAATCTCTAAATGATATTTTATTTTTGTGTGTTTGTAATTAAATCTTAGTACAGTCTGTGTTTTAAAAATGCCTGAAAAATGGATCAATTTTGCATCATTCTGCCAGTATATTTAAAACTATTTAATTGAGCTCCCATATGAAGTTCCAGACTAAAATTTGTCAGTCATCAATCTAGATAAAGACTACTACAGGTTTCCCTTCCTTAGAAGAAAGACAAATTGGCCAACTGGAAATATCTCTCATTATGGAATTTTTGATTGTGCTTTAACCCTTGTGCGATCCTAACATTTTTTTACTCCCCTTGTCCTACGGGTCAAAAATGACTCGCCCTAACAAAAGCCCCAAAATAACATCTATTTTGCATGATGTAACAATCTGTTATTTATCAATTCAACTTAAATGAGTACATTTTATGTCATGTATTTTTGTTATACAATACAAAAAGACAATCAGCAGTACTATACTTTTTTTTTATCACAAACCAAGTGTTGTAGCAGTTTTCTTTTACACAGTGAAGGTTTATTATTGTAATAATATAAATGTTAAGTAATTACTTTTGAATTAATTATACTAAAAGACACAAAAAAAGAACAATTTGGAACTTTTTTGTCAACGCTTCATTCCTTTATATTCCTTTAGGAAGTGAAGTATAAAATACCTCTTGTGACGCAACAAAACAAAATGTACCTTGATTTTGTGAACAATTTAACATCAGCTCTTATGTTGACGTTGAACAATATTACTGTTGTTCAACATCAACATCTTATAATAATATGAGATGTTCAACGCAGAATAAAAATCATCTTCTGCTCAACATAAGGTGTTGAACTTATAAGCTGTTCTTGTGTTGAATATCTTCAACATAAGCCAAAGAACATCCTATCGTTCCCATCCCATATTAAACACAATATGTTCAACTCAAGATGTTCAAGAAAATCTTCATAACATAAAGATGTTCGCTGTATGAAGACACTCCTACTTTGAACATCTTCAGTACAAGAATATCTTCAGCATCAGATGCCGATCATCTGATGCTTAAGAACTCATGTAATACAATATGTGCAAACGTACAATGTAGCACCTGATGGACAGTGAAACGTCTGTCCATGGCGTCAGCAAGCAATCAACTAGTGGTACTCAGATTCAGCATACCTTCATATCCTCTAAACTTAATTTATGTCTAAGACTGTTTTCTGTTGTGTTTGGGAACTTGTGTGATGTGGGAGGTTAGCTGCAGAATGAAATGTAATATTTTTGATACCAAGTCTATTAGGAACCTTACAGAGACCACTTCCCCCAAATAGTTTTAGTACAGATATTTTGTTCACATCTACAAAGACAAACCGTACCAAAGATATCATAGTTAATTTTAAACAGACTGCACATCTTAGCTGCAGAAAATGACCTGTGAAGACACTTTCAGCAATTAATTTGACTAAAGATAAATCCATGGATGAGTTTGCATAGATCTTGCTGGGACATTAGTCCTTTAAACCTGGAAATGTTCTTCAGGTGAAAGAAGGCCGACTTTGTGGCTCTGAAGGTTCAGGTCAGAGTCCATCACTACTCCCATATTTCAGGTCTGATGTCTAATTTATAGCTGTAATAACTGAAGCTGTTTGCTGACTCTAGATTGTTCATCCTTTGTTTCAAAGATTATTCCTTTGTTTTGTTTCTATTCAGCTGGAGAAAACTATGGCACATCCATACGCTGATTTTTTTTCAGACCATTTGCTCATAATGACTTTGTGACAGTATAATGTAGAGCTGTGAATCATTTGCATACCTTTCTTAACTTATCTTGCCAGTGGATAAAAGACTGTACAATAATTCAATTTTTAGAAGTGCCTCAAGTGTGACATAGGCTGCAGGGTGACAGACTTAGCAGCGTTGTTGTTTCCCTGGAGCAAGAAGGTCCTAAGTTTATATCCTGGCCAAGGGTCTTTCTGCATGGAGTTTGAATGTTGTCCCCAGAGTGCGTATACATATGCAGGTACTCAGGCCTCCTTCCACAATCCAAAATTATAAGTTTGATTAATTGATTTGTTTAAATTGTTTCAAGCTATCAATGGGTGCATGGTTTCCCATCCTGCATGTCATTTTATTGCCTTATGATGAAGTGACAGACAGACAGATAGAACAGTAGAACAGCTACAGAAAATGAAATTTAAACTGATCAATGATTGTATATTGAGTCATGACGAAAAGATCCAATTTACAAAAATAAGCTTGCGATGGATGTTTTTTAACATCACAGCTTATGTAAAACAGTCACAGAAATTGAAATCAGAGAAAGAACAGCGAGTGAAATCTGCAGAAACAAGACTCAGGTTTTTAGCTCCTCATCAACAAGCAGTTTGTCAATGAACATACATGTGCCATTGTTACAATCCACTAAAAATGATCACAAATTAAAATATGACCTTTTAACAGTAGAGGATAATTTAACAAGTACAGAACAAGACAAAATGACATTTATTGACTCTTGTGGACAAAACTGTGAATATTAAGCCTTCCAGATACCAGGTCTCCTGCAGAGTTACATTGAGAGTTAGAAATGTAAAAAAAATAACCTGGGGAGTCTGAACAACTTCAAATTAACTTATCTATCACCTAAGAGGGGATTAAGTATATCTCTTGCCAACAGCCTTGATTCTTCCATTACTTTATTTGTCATTAAAAATTAAAGTGAAAAAAAAAACAGACATGGAACCATATCTGTACACTACCTCTTATTTTGTAAACCTTAGTAATTATTTCTGATCAACACTTCTGTCATTATTTTTGCAATTATGGCAATTAGGATTTTAGGGCAGAAAACATGCTGTTATTCCCAGTAACATTTCATCTAATCTTGGCACTCGGTGGTCTCATGGCAAAGCATAAACAAAAACAGTAAGATGATTTCTGAAAAACACAGACTAAAAAAAGAGTATGACAGCCTGCTCCTGTGGTGAGATTTATGATGTTTATCTCTGACTGTTATTTTCCTGCTGTTCAGTTTCTAAAAACCTGAGACTGAAAATATTTTCATTTTTCCAAAAAATGACTGCTAACAGCCTGAAAGTCAGAAGAGATTCTTTCTGTAACTTCCAAGCAAAAAGTAAATGGAAGAAATAAAGCAGTTTGTTTTGATTCAGAAGTTATGAAACAGAACATAAACAGCCCAAACCCACTCTTTGAGAATTTTTGCATTGTCTTTTATTACATCTGGAATCTAGAAATAATAAGATCTTTATTATTAGTTATTATCTACGTTGGTTCAAATTCCAGAATGTTTCAAAAACAACAGAAAAACTGTGAAAGAACTCCCTACCACGTTCTATCTGCTTCATCATATGTTATTTGTTTTATCAGAAAGTTAATACATCTTTGCATTTTTTATAGTTTATTGAATATTGCTCTTCTTTGCTTTTTAAATAGTTTTAACAATCAAACCATCTTGGCTTTTCTAGGATTTTGTTTTGATAACTTTCAGCAAAGAGACTTTAATGCAATCCATTTCTGATCTCCTGCCAGTTCAGCAGCACAGTCTTTGTCAAGCTAGGTCTAACAAAAACCAACAAAACCATCTAAGTACAACAATTTTGGATGGCCTAAAAAATCATTTTTAATATCTCGGAAACCAAAGCTGCACAAACAAACATTTTAACGACATAAACGGAGCACTGACCAATCAGACTATTTGCTGGATTATTTGAGTAGGTGGGGTGTCAGCTTCACGGAGGTCTGTTTCACTTCTCCCATTAAACACCAAGTTAGCAAAAAAGCTCTCCCTCTTCAGATGCCAAATAAGCTGCATTTCCCTCCCAATTCTTTTTTTCTTTTACATAATGACCAGTTGTGTCCACCTATAGTTTGTGAAGTAGAGTAATCGTAACGTTTTTTTTTTCTTCATGTTGGCCGCATTTTGGCCACTATTTATTTTTCTCATTTTCAGCACTGACCTTACTTAAAGAAAAAACTTAAGGCTTACAAAAACTTTGTATTTTCTGTCCTGGAGGGTTTACTAAGAAGCTGGTTCAGTTGTAAAGCAGGTTAAGTTAATCTTGTGGTTTAGGTAAAGCACCTAATTTTCTCAACTAAATGATGCTGCAGGTTTATCTATTAGCAGGTTTAATTTTGCCTGCACTTGGTTGTGTACATTATTTTAAGTGTATTTGACAAGTTTACCAAAATATAAAAAATGTCATTCAAACTGCATTTGCCTTGTTTTACTTTTTACTTGTACTTTTTATTACATTACTTGAGCACATCCATTTTTACAGTAATTTTCATACTTAAGTACAAGACATTTCACGTACTTTAATACACTAAAGTAACACTCAAGTAACATTTCAGTCAGTGACTTGGACTTTTACCAAAGTCATATTTTGGAGAGGTACCGATACTTTTACTTGACTCCGAGATTTCAGTACTTTATACAACACTGAGCAGAAGTACTCGTGCTGACAGAAGCCCACTTGTTCTTACAATTATGAGTTTATTATCAGAACAAAATCTCAACTGTGAATCAGAAAAAAGGACAACCGGCATTCAAAAGAAGATGGTATCAGAAAGGAAGTATAGAATAAGTTGGATTTTGATCGCACTGGACAACGGTGTTGTGAGGAGGGAAGAAGAAGACAAACACATTTGAGCCAAATTACTTGTGATAAGGCTGAGTGTAGGAGGCTAAGCATTGTGTAGTTATCAATGTGTGCTTGGCTGTGATCGGTTTTTTTTCCACAAAATAAATGTAGATTAATTAAACTTCAGAGACAATCAATAATGCTTTTATTTCTGGAGTCAATCAATAGGTCGATGCCCCCCACAATGAGACAGTTAAGCCTGCAGGTGTGTTTCTACTCGTGTGTCGAGTTTGTGTTGAGGTCTACTCATCACTTAACAAAGCTGTACAGAGATAGCAACTCCAAGAGCCAGCCTTCATTTTGCAATTGAATACCAAGGACAAAAACACACACGCACGCATGTTTGCGTGTTTTTAGTTGAGATTTAAAAGAAGTCAGGGTTTCCGCTGTTTTACAGTTTTCTGGACGTTTGTTCCAAATTTTTGGTGCATAGATGCTGGAAGTTGCTTCTCCTCTTTTGGTTCTGGTTTTGGGGATGCAGAGCAAACCAGAACCAGAACCTGAGAGTCTGGAAGGTTGATACAACAACAGCAGATCTTTGATGTATTGTGGTGCTAAATCATTCAGTGATTTATAAACTGACAACAGTATTTTAAAATCTATTCTTTGAGCTACAGGGAGCTAGTGCAGGTGATTTAAGACAAGCAGCAGCTTCTGGATCAGCTGCAGCTGGAGGATTGATTTGTTGGACAGGCCTGTGAACACTCTGTTGCAATAATCAATGCGACTAATGATAAACGCATGGATGAGTTTCTCTAGATCTGGCTGAGACATTAGTCCTCTAATCCTGGAGATGTTCTTCAGGTGGTAGAAGGCCGACTTTGTAATCGTCTTTATGTGGCTCGCAAGGTTCAAGCCCAAGTCCATCACTACTCCCAGGTTTCGGGCCTGATCGCTAGTTTTTAGTTGTAATAACTGAAGCTGTGCATTAACTCTAGATCGTTTCTCTTTAGGTCCAAAAATAAATTACTTCAGTTTTGTTTTTGTTAGAAAGTTTTGGCACATCCACACATTTATCTGTTCTAAACATTTATTCAGTGATTGGATGGGTTCAGAGTCACCTGGTGACATCGTAGAGCTGTGTGTCACCCGCATAGTTATGGTAGCTAATATTATTTCCTGTTATAACCTGAGCTAGTGGTAGTATATAAATATTGAATAAAAGGGGTCCTAGGATTGAACTTTAGAATACTCCACATGTGACCTTTGACCTCTTTGATGAGAAGTTTCCAATTGAAACAAAAAAATCACTGTTCTTTATGTAAGATTCAAACCAGTCGAGCACCGAACCGGAGAGTCCAATCCAACTCTCCAGTCGATTCAGTAATATGTCATGGTCGACAGAGTCAAAAGCTTCTCTAAGATCCAACAGAACCAGCACTGTGGTTCTCCCACAGTCCGTATTTATATGGATATCATTGAATACTTTGACTAGGCCAGTCTCCCTGCTGTGGTGAGCACGAAAACCAGAATGGAAAGAGTCAAAGCAGTTGGTCATCATGAGGAAACTATTTAATTGTTCACACACAGTTTTTTCAACAACTTTGTCAGGTTTTGGATCAGCCTGTAATTCTGCAGTAGTGATTTGTCCAGATTGTTCTTTTTTAGCAGTGGTTTGATGACTGCTGTTTTCAAAGCCTGGGGGAAATGCCTGATGAGTTTACTATTTGGTAGCATCAGTAGCAATAACAGGCAGGACTTTCTTAAAGAAATGTGTGGGTAGGACATCCAGATAGCAGGAGCTTGACTTATAATTTCTTCTAGGGTTTTATGATAAAGTAGTTGAAAATAGGTCATTTTTCCTGTATTTGTTGTGTTTGGGTACAGCAATGGTTCTGGCTTTAGAATTGATGTTCAGATTAATCCTCTGATTTTTGAATTTTCTCTGAAAATTTGAATTTTCTCTGAAAACTCAAAATCACTTTCAATATCACTTACCCTACCCTAACACTAACCCTACTTTAACCCTAACCATTACATACTTAATAGTAACCAAAACTCAATTCACACCGTAGTCTGAAATCTAACCCCTGACCAACAAACAGCGTTTCCCCTTGTTTCCCCTTGTGGGGACCCCACCAGTAGCAGTGAGTCCCCACAACGTGGGTAGTATATAGTATGTGTCAAGGAACATGGTCTCCACAAGGTATTACAAACATATGCATACATACTCACACATGCATGTACGCACACTGGCAGCATGTTGAGAAATGTTTTTTGTTGATGTTGAAGGCATTAAATGCGGTGGTTCACATAAACCTTTATCCAATGTAGCACATACTGATAGACATATAAAGCTCTTTGTGAAAGTAGTCACACCCCATGGACTTTTTCACTGTACAAACACAAATTTCACTATGTTTTCTTAAGACTTTTTGTGATTGTTTATATAAATTAGAACTTAGATGTTAATTGGGAAGAAATAATTTATAGTTTTTTTTTTTAAATGTCTTACAAATAAAATTCCAATTTTTTGCAGTTACACTTGCCAGACATGAGGAAAATGGCCATCAGCTGAAATTGTTGTGCATTAGCTTCTATGTTTAGTAGCTTGAGCTCAGTCAGCAGGGATGGAAGGAATCTTTTACGTTATATAGATTTAGACGTGGACTGTATGTCAGTCTCTTTCTTTTCCAAGAATGTTTTTGGATTTACCAGGATGTAGTTTTAACTGTATGTTCCTATCAAATGCAGAAGCAAACTCATCTTTAGACCATGATGCTGCCATCATTATGTTTTACTAGTAAGCAAAAATAATCAGAATAAAATAATCTTTTAAATAGTTTTAAATAGTTAATTTGACAAGATGTGAAAAATATCAAAGTCGGTTGCAAAGGTTTGTAGAGGACTGCAACACACGAGCAGAAGTTGAGGCACACTTTTCATCACACTACGGAGATAAACTTCCTTTATTCTTTTGCCTTCCCCCTGTAAGAAAAACAATAAAGTAAAAGATGAGAAGAGTTTACAGGCACATCTAAACAGTTTAGCAAAAAAAAAAAAAAAAAAGATTTCCACATATAATGCAAAACTGAGGACTCTGAAGCACTGAGCAACAGTCCACCCTGAAAGATGCTTCTGATGATGCTACGTTCATGGTTACTCATGATTGCATAAGTGTGGCCATAATCATAAAGATTCACATTTTGTAGATTTTCTAATATTCCTTGTTTCAAAGAAACCCAAGTTTGGATTATTATTCACTGTGAGGTATTATTATTTCCAGAAATAGCATCTGAAATATATTACTTTGTAAAGGATCTAGTTTGTATGTAGTAATTTTAATAATTTTTTAAATAAATGAACTTTTTAATTGCGATGAAGCTTCCTAAAAGTTCTGAAAGCCAGTTATATATAAAAGATTTTATAGGTACTGCTTATTGCTATATACCCATTTCATGTCAATTGTTATTATTTAAGGTAATGGGAAATGTGGAGGTTTTTCCCTCATTAAAAGGTTTTATGGCAGTTCACTTTTAAAAATGTTAAATTTGCTCCGTTTTTATATTCTCAGGTCAGTAACCGCAAACTAGGTGGTTAGAGCTGATACAAACTAACACTTTGACTAACTTTGAGTGGTATTCACAAGGGTTAACTTCCTCAAATAAGAATAATTATGAAGAAAATTCCAGATTAAAAACTTGTCCCAACAATTTGCTATGGCTAAAATTCTTTTGAATATCTTAATTTTCCTAAAATGTTACAAAAATGCATTAAAGGAAACATCTTTACTACTTCTCCCTGCCCCTCATTTCTCTGCCTCCCTTCCTCACCTCCCTTGCAGAGCGCCCCCAACCGCCCAGGAAGCTTTCTGTTCCTCAGGATGAGGTGGAGGCTCGCCGACTTCGTGTTTACTGGGCAACTGGTGGCTCGGGCTCCTCTCCTCTGAGGTACTTCACTTTGCAGCTCAAGGAGCTGCCGAATGGGCCCTGGAAGACCCACACAGCTGACATCCCACACAATGTGACATCCTGGACAGTCAACAGGTACGCAAAAATACAGACATACTTATTAGATGAAGAAGCAAAAATGTACATTTCACCCTGATTGTCTACAAAAGACAGTTGCCATTCTTTGTCTTTTACTAGGGAGTGAATCAGATCATTAGATCCTAATGGCTTCAAATTGACATTCATTCACCAGTAATGTTTTTTTAGAAACAAAGTCTAAATCCACTGTGTAATCTTGTCTGGGATGGGCTTGTTTCAGTGCTAACCTGGTTGTTATGTTGAATAGTGTAATATAATAAGTAACTGATTTTGTTTTGTCTTTTTACTCATATTTTACATTAAACATTTTTTACCAAAAAACAAAATTAGATTTTGCAAGGAAAGTTACTGTTGTACTAAACAAGGTAATGTATTTAATTGTAATTACCTAGTAAATCATTCAAACTACAGATACTGTAGCTCTGGACTTTGACAGGGCCATTCTAAAATAAGTGCATGCTTTCATCTAAACCAGTGATTCCCAAAAGTCGGGGTCATGATCTGACTTGGGGCTATTTATCAATAGGAGTGGGCCTTAAGATCCTCTTCAGAAACTGAAACTGAATTATAGAAATATGTATTGCTTGTGAACAAGCAATACACTGGCTGTTAATGCGATTTGTTTTATCTTTGTCACTCTGTAACTTTGTTGTCCAGTCATGAGTCTGTTCTGCTATTTTATCGTCGCTCATGACCGATTCCATTCTAGCCCTGCTTGCAAATGTAGAGTTAGTGTCTTGCTGGAGGTGAATCTCTGTCACAAGATTTTCCTCCAGGATTACCATGGATTTAGATCCATTCAGTCTCCAAATTAAGCAGCTTTAATCAATCAATCAATAAATAAATAAATCAAAATTTATTTTTATAGCACATTTCAGCAGGAAGGCATTTCAAAGTGCTTTACATAATAAACACAAAAACACAAAGTCATGCAACATCGAATCAATAATCAAAAACATTAAGTCAAATGCCATAACAATGCAAATATAACATGTTTAATATGTAGGTACATTTGCAGCACTTTCAGCCAATAATCATTAAATTTGTAATTGATTACATGTCAAATCCAACTCTAAACAGGTGGGTTTTTAGTCGAGATTTAAAGGAAGTCAGTGTTTCAGCTGTTTTACAGCTTTCTGGAAGTTTGTTCCAAATTTGTGGTGCATAGATGCTGAAAGCTTCTTCTCCTAGTTTGGTTCTGGTTCTGGGGATGCAAAGCAGACCAGAACCGGAAGACCTGAGAGGTCTGGCAGGCTGATACAACAACAGCAAATCTTTAATGTATTGTGGTACTAAACCGTTCAGTGATTTGTAAACAGTATTTTAAAATCTACTCTTTGAGCTACAGGGAGCTAGTGAAGGAAATTTAAGACTAGTGTTATGTGCTCTTTCTTCTTGGTTTTAGTTTAGTGTCCTCACGGTGCCACACGGCACTGCACGCTCAATGGTAGGGGAGGCCTACCATGTGCAGAGACTACAGATGTCTCCAGTTCCATTCCCAGCCTGTACCATCCCCTTCTCTCTCAGCTTTTCTTCTTGTCTAGGTGCCTGTCAAAATGCCATAGTGCCACAAAACCTTTTAAGAAAACCAGCATCCGATCAGTAGCATGACACTGCTACTGATGTGTTTCACCAACTGGGAAGGTTGTGTTCAGGGTGTTCGGGTCTGAAGAGTATATTTTCCACCATGCATACATTTTGTTCCTGTCTGACCAGATGATGTTGGATCTGTCAACATGATTCAGGCTTTTTGTCAGAACTCGTCCATGCAGCCCATGTGGGTAACTAGCAGTTGTCCTGTTCTCAGATTGAATATTGTTTAAGAACTGTTTAAACTTCTCCACAAGCCTGACCCTAACCTATCTGCTGTGCTGTGATTTGTTTCCTTTGGCTCTCTAGCAAATTTCTAAACTGGTCACATAACATCTCTATAAATCCAAAGAGATAAGAGACTTGTAAAGACTTCTGGTCACAATGAACTTTCTATCAGATCTTTATATATTTGACTAGACTTTAGAGGACTAAATTCTAATATACTCCAAACTGTTTAAAATGTAGTGAAAAACTATTTAGATCCATTTTGTTTTCATGTAATTTATGTGGGCACATTTGCATTATGGAGTTGGGAGCAAATGGGAACAAACTGTCTAGAACATTAATTTTAAAATGTTTTTCACAGTAGTGAGACTGATACATTTTTAATCAAGTTAAGTGGAGGACCAATAATTAATTAATAGCATTTAATCAAAAACCAGCAATATATTCTACACCCAGAAACCCTTTTCACTTCAAAATCACGAAACAAATAGGGCTGTGAGCTCAGCAATAAAGATATTTGTTTTTAATCTGTTTTTCAGGTTCTTCCACCATCAAATTAGTGCAAAGTAGTCCTGATGATCAATAGTGTTTCTTTGAATAAATCGTCTTTTAGAAATAAGAACTATTGATACTTTTGGGAACATCTGTGCTAACTGCTGTTTGTTTGTTGGCAATGTGTTGCATTGAGATAGATATTTCATTTGAAGTAGAGGATTTTAGTCTAGAATATCTTTGTTGACAGTTCAGCTCTTTTTTGCACAACTTGAACACAGCAGTAGTATTTTCCAGCATCTAATCAGGTGGGGAGTTTTTTAAGCAAAATGAAACCCAGAGAAGCAGCTTTGGCTTGTGCAGCACATTTCTAGGCATACCAGAAACAAACCAATACAAATGTTTGGATCGGAACCTTTGAATGTGAACAATGTGATTAATTGCATTAAAATGTTCAATGAGTTAAAATCTATGTAACTAATTTATTGATATTCAGTTGTTAATATACTGGTCCTAGATTTTTAATATGATTGATCATGCATTAATTTAAATAGCCTAAGCAACTTTGTGCAAATTGGCTGTAAACTTGGCAGTAAAGAAACATTTGTTTATTTACAGTAAAGTAAAAAAATATATCCTGCAAAGAATGAGTCAACAGTTGTGGTAAAATGAACATGGCTACTTCATAACCAGGGAGCAACTCACGTATCACCTGAGCACTGAAGGAATTGCTCTAACTTGCTTATATCCCTTTTCCATCTGTCTCTGTCCACTCCTGAGCTTTCAAGCTTGACTGTGTCTTCTGTCCATTCTTTCTTAAGAACAGCTTTTGCCTTTTCATGTGTCACCCCTCTTGTTGTCCCCGTCTCCTTCCCTTTCTCTCTCCATCGATCAACAGCCCCAGCTTTCAGAAACTATCAGCAAGGCATTTTTTCCTTCAAGCATCACCCCTGCTCTACCAGTTGAAGGGGGCTTCAGCACTATTGTCTCTTCCATTTCACATCCTCATCTTCCAGCTCTCTATGATAGTGTCATTAAGGCAGCGGCCAACATCGGTCGGGCTCTAACTTTGCCGACAAAGCCTAAGAAGTGGGGCTGTGATGACTTTTTACCAGTGTCGGGAGTGTGCTTCGTGACGTTTAAGCGTTCTTCTTCTCGAGTGATCATAGAGCTATTTGAGATGCTGGAGTGAGCTTTCTCTGTTTCGACCTGCCTCAGGGAGAGTCTGCCTGCCATCACTGTGGAGCCGCTGTTGTTGTTTTGATGCCATTTCTGAGATCTTGTTGCAACAAAGAATGGAGAAATTAACTCGCATTTCTACATGCTCACCCATGCTTATTTTTCCTGAGTATTAATTGTTGTTTCCACAAAACTCTAGAAGCAAAACATCATGCCCCCCAGACTTATCTGCACAGGCACATTTTTCACACATACATCTTCAAACATTGTCCTTAACATCCTTTCAGCACTGTTGGCTCCCCACTAGTTTAGGCTTAGTGTCTTTGGTGTTCTATTCCTTTTTGTACACAAATCTTTCTAAAGGTTTCAGCTTTCTACCTCTATGCGTGTAATTGTGAGAAATATATACAGGTTGAAAAATCAAAGTAGTAAAATAAAGCAACTTTCTGTGGTCACAGTAGCTTTTCTCTTGGATTGAGCTGGATCGCTCCTTCAAACTGGTATGAAACCACAGCTTCACAAACATCTGTCTTCTTAACCCCTGAAGATAAAAGCAAGTCTCTCCCAACAAAATTGACTTAGAAGGTAATGTGTTTTCACATAAACAGTAAAATGTTAAAGTAAACCAAATCAAAGAATTTCAGTATTTTATGATTTGCTACTGTTTTATGTCACTTTGAGAACAAGTGCCTCTAGAGTTAGGCATTTTTAAATTGGCTGATATATATTGTTATTCTGGGCTCATAATATCCTTCACCTTGAACAGAGGAGAAATGCAGATGTTGTTTGAATATTGTAATAAAAACACTTTGACTCTAGAGACAGTTAGTAAAGGTGAAGGCTAATTGTTATTCAAGCATTAGTGTGGTTTCCTAAGGCCACTGAAAGAGAAAAACATGTCTCAAAATAGGTGAGAAGGTTATTTCAGAAAAATATTTATCCTAAGCTGTTAAAGGTACACAGCAGCGTTTTAAATGTTTGTTTGGTTTTGGTAAGTAGTTGAATTCCTCTTTATGACTTGAAGAAATGCCTTTGAAGGATAGGCAAATAATTTCCAGCAGAAAAAAAAGACTGGCAATAAATTATGGACGAGTAAGTATTTTTTATGCATTACACCTTTTATTTGATCTCTTGTTTTTAGTAGGGCTTAGTTAGGAGCTCTGAGTATCTTGTGTCGGGAAATTTGCCTACAAAGGCTAAGACAAAGCAAACTTTAATCACTTACAGCACACTCCACATTTACTGGCATTCATCATAGAGATAAATAAATTCCCCTGTTACTTATTTTTATTACCAATGAATTGTGGTCCACACATTAAGTACAGACAAGAACCCAAACTGAGGAATAATAATAATTGTATTTTTTTAAGAAGGCGCCGGGGTAGATTATGTAAAATAAATGCAGCTGAAATCTGTTTGTGGAGTATTGTGCTTTTTAATCAGAATATCCATTTGTCTGGTTTCCCTAGTGTAGAAACAATGTAAAGTTTTTTTCACCGCTCTCCAAATTGTGTTATTATACGTCAGGAAATGGCTACAAGAAATTTGATTAGATCCTAAACTTACACATATCTACAGTCAGGGCAATAAGTTCAACCAGGCATTTCCAACTCCAGTCTTCAAGTTCCACTGTCCTACCGTTTCTTCATGCATTCCTTCTCCAATACAACTGAACCCAAAGGCAGAATTAAGCTTGTTTCATGTCAGCAAGTTTTACAGAAGCTAGCCATTGATTTGATTCCAGTGTGCAGGGAACCAGGACAGAGACACTCGAGGCCTGGAGTTGGAGACCCCTGCATCATACATACCAAAATAACTAAACTAACACATTGAATTGTGGACCACAATTCAGCTTACAATAAACAAAACAAGATTTGGATTTTAACAAATTTTTTCAGGGGAAAATACAGAAATCTGTTTTATATTTTTCACAAATGGAATAAATGGGGATCTGCAAAATATATGGAAATGGTCATTACAATAACAACTCCAAAGAAATGCTTGGATGATGAAGTTGGTATATTTCAGGTACTATAATTTCATACTAATTTTATTTATATCATATTTATATTTTATTTATTTATATTATAAACATTGTTTGTATTCATAATGCTGAAATTTACTAGTAGTGGTAGAGACTTATAAGAAAAATATGGACAGCAGTTAAGAAAATATGCGTTAATTTTGAGTAATGTTGTCAGCCCTACGTTAATATTCATGACTCACTAAATGTGTTTTAAAGAATGTAAAATCCGTGTCTATTTTTAATTTATTTATTCTACAAGAGATGATCAAATGTAGATCAGAGTCCTTCAAAAACATTGAAATAACCCTTTAATTTGGTGTGGATAGGTACAGTCCATTCCAATCAGACACAAACTTCATTGGAATTAGGCTGCTTCTGCACAGTCTTAAATAATTAGCATGTTGTTAATCAGCACTCCTCAATATTAAAAATATGGTTATATTGGTTACTGTTGTGATGACTACATAACTTGCAATAAATCTGTTTTCTTTTCTTGGCCATGTTGCAAACTCTTCCTTTAGCATTTTTTCTACACAGTAATCTGTTTCAAGTGAGATTACACTCATTAAAACTGCCTGAATGTGTTAGTGGCATGCAAAGTGTGAACTGAAGACACTTGTAAGCTATGGTGACTGCCTTCTATTCAGCCCCTTTGATATAGTATTGCACATTATGTGATTGCTTAAAGATAGATATATTTGCAGTACATTGGGCCATCTTGCCATCTTATCCAAAATGTTATTAAACAAACTATTTAAATGTGCTTTTTTCTTCTTCAATGCTAATGTAGCTAGCTGAGGTTTATCAGCCAGACCAAAAGCAGTCCCTGTGTCCTGATTATGACAGCATTTATTACTTAGTAAGACAAACAGAATAGAAAAAACAAGAACAAAAAACAACTTCACCCTAAGAAAAAATACCTTGTAAGTTTGGAATAACATAAATGTAGCAAAACACTGTTGTACTGTAATTAGTTTCATGTATTGATCAAAGTGTACGTCAGTCTTCCTGCCTTACTAAGACTGCCTGGACATGGCAATTTATTCACTTTGCCATGCAGTAAAGGCAGATCGTAAGACAGAAAATAATTTCAAGAAAATAGCTACTTACATTAACTTATCCATGTTTACAGTCAGACTGTAAATATGAAAAAGTGTTGCCACCTCACCCTGTTTTGATAATTGTCTGAGAGGGAAAAACATATATGTACATATGTGTACATATATGTATAAGAAAATATATATATATTGATATGTACATATCAATCACAGTAAACATTTCGCTGTGAGAACATTGTTACTCCAATAAAAGTTCACTTTGCTTTTAGATTTTACATCCCTTTGAGAGAACTCATCACTCTTTGCTCCTTTGGTATTATAAAGCCAGAAACCCAGAGATTCTGCTCAAAGTTTAATAACCAGTTAATAATTTTTGGAAACACAATTTAACTGAGTTTAGTTGTAGGTTCTCTGAGCATCAGGAAGGTTTAATAAACCTTATATAAACAATTGTTTTCTGTCAACGTAAACCCTTTTAAAGTACATTTTTTTATAATTTTGTTTTGTTTTATCTCATGAACCCACAACATGTCATTTTGCCAGAATACTGATTTATGCACCAATTTCACTGCTAATGTTTGGCAAGAAAAATCGTTCAAAATGGAAAATGACACTTAGATAAATGTTGTGAATTATGCATGACGATGATTGTGCAACAAATTTCTGTCTTTTAATATAAATGTTAATGTTTGAACATGTGGATTAAAACAAGATCATATTCAGACAAAGAAATCCCTTAACACCATATTTCCACTGGAATTTGACAATGTGTCTGTTTGCGTCTTACACTTGCTGTGAGTGCTTGAAACTTAAGTGTTTGTGCACACTTTTTGGATAGTAAAGCTGATTCTGATTGTGGTTGTTTAGGCTGAAGCCCTTCACATCATACAAGATTCGAATGCTGGCCACCAATGACGTAGGAGACAGTGTCCTCAGCAAGGAGACAGAGGCTGTTACTACTCTTCCGGATGGTAAAGACCAGGGTTGGAATGGAGAATGAAGGGAAACCTGGAGTAGAGTTGATATCTGTATGAAGCAATTACCTGTTCGTTTTTTTGTCTGTCTTCTTTCCAGTTCCTAATGAGCCTCCAGTGATCCTCTCAGTGAAACCAACAACTACTACCTCAGTGATGGTGCAGTGGAAGGTATTTCTTTTCTTTGAACATAACAAATGTTCTTTTTAAACATAGATCTCAACTAAGCATACTATATTTTAAAATATCACATTAATCATTTACTTTAAGAGACAGGCTTGTCAGATTTTAATTGTATATAAATTTGCTTTGTGTTGGTGTCTGTGAATTTGGTTATCTTTATTTATTAAAGCAGAAAATGTCAAAGAGCAGTGAGGATAAATTTTAAGTATGGAGGGAAGTAGAAAAGAACAGAGGGATGGACTGTCTTTGCCAGGAGAGAAATGTCCAACTCTTAATGATTATATCCCAGCAAGCAATGTGGTACAGGTTGAAAGGGGCCCTCAGCAGTCAATTCAGCAACAGAGGAAATAGAGAGGAAGAGGAAAAGTCAGTAGATCCCTTCTGAGTACTTTACAGCTTGCCTCTCTTTCTCTACTGTCTGTAAATGTATGTTCTCATCTTTGTAGCCTTATGTCAAAGCAGAAAGAAGCAATGAAAACACAAAGTAACCAGCAATTTCATCAACCTTTCTGAGAGTTCCAAACCTATTGAAGCATCACTTCCCCCTTTGCAAGTTACTGCAAGACCAATACTCTGGAAGACTAATAAACTACAGCTCAAATGCAGTTCTGATGGCATTCCTTTGTCCAGTCTGTGACAAAAAAAATAACTCAGTTGAAAAAATTATAATAGGCTCACGAGTTGTTTTTGAGGAAATGTATTACTAATGTCTGTGGAAATGTATATGTTGCATGTTTTCTAGCGCCCCAGTGAAGACAGTATTAATGGAGTCCTGACTGGATACAGGCTGTATTACAGGGAGCTTCCTGTAAATGGATCCACTGCCAGGGATGGCCGAGTCCAGACAACCAAAAACCATAGCACAAGTGCCCTCATTACAGGTAAGTAGATCTGATTTTTATGGAGTCAGGGTTGCTATGTCAACTCTGTACACAAACAATGCTAACTTAACTGTTCAACAATCTACCGTAATCTAAAGTATGTTTTATTTTTTGCAAGTTGCCCTCTTGCCCAACTGAGAAAGGGTTAACCAAATCTGAGAATCTCAAGGCTCTAGAGTGTGACCAATTGCACATGTAACATAATTTATTTTAAAAAAAACTTTGAAGCAACACTGGACCAACTAGTTATTCTAGGAAAATAAAGTCTCTGCAACACAGAAAATCTCCCTTTGGTTCAGCGACAGACAGATATTAGGCCCAAATTGCACTCTAAGGGTGTCCAAACTACGGCCAGTTTTTATTGGACCACAGCAAATTCTGAAAATATAATGGATATGGCTCGCACAAAAAGCTTGAGCTCAACTCTGTTGCACTTCTCAGGTTCAACACCAGATGGAGCCAGCCACAGAAACGAAATTTTAGCTGAGAAAAACTTCTACCGTGAGTCACCAGAAATGGCAACACCGCAGAAACACAAAATAGCAAGTGAGTGTAGGAGATTTCAAACACGGTGGGAAGATGAGTATTTTTTCAAAGAAATCAACAGAAAGTGTGTCTGTTTGATTTGCAGTGAAGATGTTGCTGTGATGAAGAGTATAATGTCCGTCGGCACTATGAGAGCAAACATCAGAGCTACACATCGTACACTGGTGCAGAACGAACACAGAAAGTCAAGCAAATGGCAGCTGGCCTGTAAGCTCAACAGCAGGTTTTTTTGTACTAATAAAATACAGGAAAACGCCACAACAGCAAGTTATGAAGTCGCTAAACGTATTGCCCAGCACGGCAAATTGTTTTCAGACCGTGATTTCATAAAGCAGTGCCTCATCAAAGTCACAGAAATAATGTGCCCAGAAAAAGTGTCTGATTTCAACAATGTGAGCTCATCCAGAAATACAGTGGTACGCAGAATTGAGGACTTGTCAGCTACCCTGAAACTTCAACTGAGAGACAAAGCTTGTGCTTCTGATTTTTACTCAATAGCGTGTGATGAGAGCACAGATGCGACAGACACTGCACAACTGTTCATTTTTTGCGGGAAGTTGATGAAAATTTTTGCTGTATGGAGGAGCTGCTTGATACTATGAGCCTAAAAGACACAACGACAGGAAAATATATTTTTGAAGTTGTGTCAATTGAAAAGATGGGGCTCAAATGGGACAAGCTCTGCGGAGTAACAGATGGAACGCCGGCCATGACGGGCGAGCGCAAAGGAATGGCATTGTTGTTGTACGCAAAGGTAAAAGAGAGCGGAGGTGAGGCTGTTAGGATGAACTATATAATCCACCAAGACGCTTCTTGGTGGATTATATAGTTCATCCTAACTTTAATCTTTGTGACCCACAAAGATTTTCAGGCTTTCCAATCTGACGTGGATGCTGAATACGGGGATGTACTCTACCACTCTGATGTGCGCTTCTGCAGCGGTTTTATTCGCTGAGATCAGAAGTCAACCAGTTTTTAAAAGAGAAGGGACAACCTCTTCATGAACTAAGTGACCCTTTGTGGCTGGCAGACCTGGCATTTTGATCTCACGCATCATCTGAATACACTGAACAAGAACCTACAAGGAAAAGAACAGCTGGTGCTGGGTTTTCATGTGCTCCAGGATGTGCACATGAAAGCCTTCTGCGTAAAGCTCCGCCTTTCTGAGACACAACTATGAGGTTGTAATGCTACACATATGCACTTGTGTGTGGCCCGGCCCTTTGTTTATTTTTCTGTATTTGGCCCTCACTAAGAAAAAGTTTGGACACCCCTGTCGTACTCTAGACCAATTAGAAACCATGAAGGGCAAGTTATGTCATCAAGTTATTGTCTGCCATTTTAGCTTGTGAGCAGTAGGCCTATAGCTCCACAGCTCACAAAAATATTTATTTTGTTGTTGCTAATATGGTCTCAAATCTTAACATAGCTTTTGTTCAACTCTGAACACTTCAAAGTCTCAAACTGAAAAAACAAGATGAATCACTGGAAACAATTGTAACAGTTAATAAATGTGTGTTATTTAGTCATTATACTGTTTGATTGGCTGAATTTTAACCAATGTGAGTCACACAAAGCGACACCATTTACAAGTTGTGCATGCTCCTACAGTATTGACAGACTGTCTGTTAACCACTTTTTTAAAAGTCCTGATAAATGCACTGCACTGGCATTTTTAAGCTTGAAGTTCTTTTCACCGAAGCACTTTACCTTTTAATAACTGTAAGTTAATTGTCTTATACAATTCTGTTTACAAAGTTGTTAATCATTTCCAATTCAATATTGCCTTCATGACAATTAATTTAGAAGGAAAAGTGAGTCTGCAAACTGTGATATTAAATGTGACATGCATGACATAACTCCTGTGTTGCCATCAGCTGTGTTCTCATTGGTTGGTTGGACTCTCATAATGTCAGGATTCCCTGGTGTTGGAAAACTTGGAATGAACCGCCACCAATTCAGAGAACCCTATTCAAATGATAATTTTTAGCATTTTTATTTGCATTGTACACTATGGTGTGTTCATCTATTTTTCATCTTTTTTGAGGTAACGATTTTTTTTTCTCTCTACTCCTCACACTCAGCAGCATTTGTGTCTGTGGTATAGAGTGGTGAAAAAAATTCTACCTAATCCAAATATAAAGTTCTGCAACAATACTGAAGCAAAAATATTGTTGAATGGTTTGCTCTTCAATACAGTGATTTTATTAAATCCCATTATAATTGAGCGGTTTGTTGTTGGACTCAAAGCACAATTGATTTTCCATTTGTTTTTCTTTCACTCTTCCAAAGCCAAGAGCACCTTCAAGACAGTCAGCAGTGCCTCACTCACAGAGTTTGAGCTGACACGTAAGTTACAAAGTCGATCAACATACAGCCGAAGTCTTACACTGAGACACTGATTATGGTTATAAATGTCATATTCACTTTTAACGAGATAACAAGAACTGTGTCCAAAAGTGTGACTTCATTGGGGATGTTCTCTAATAGACATAGGGTGAAAAAAATATACATAAATCCTCAGTTATGTGTGCTGTACAATTATTATGACATTATTTTGACATTAATGTCAGATGTAAACTTCTGACTGGAGATGTGTGCTTTCTTGTTTAGTAAAATAGAAATGTTTTGAAAAGATTTGATATTTGCTTACAGAACTAAAGAAGTTCAAACATTATCATATTGTGATGACGAGCTACAACATTGTTGGTGAGAGCCGTCCATCTGCTCCTGTTGAGGTGACTGTTGGAGAGGCAGGTAGGTGAAAAGAAACAACCATGAAATATATATATAATTGTAAGATGTGACAGAAGAAAGTGTTGTTTCCAGGTTAACTTCTATATTTCCATTTCTCAGTAAAGATTTGTGAATGCCTTCGGTGCAAAAAAGGAATTTCAGACTTTTGAATTTTTGCACATTTATGTTTTTACTATATTCAATAACAAGCTATATACACCATGTATTTCTTTAGGACATGAATACTTAATTTCCAGGTAACCTTGAATTTTCTTCAAAATTATTCTACAAGCATTGCTCTAAATTACCTCCAACTGTTTTCAGAGTAGAAACAATCAGACTCCTGAATGTTGAATGGAGCGTCACTGGATAGTCTGTATTAGCATTCTGAAGAGTTTTTCTGCTCGGTTTAGTTACAGACACCAGCCCAGGACAAGTTAAAGACCTGCTGCCTTTTATTGGCTTTTTTATTACTGTAATTCATTACAAAGGCTGCTCTCTAAGGTATCTTGAACTAATTGCTAGTGTGTTTTAGAGTATTATCTCCTTGAATAGCAAATGTTTACCTCTGCTCTAAATTCAGAGCATTTAGGTAAAAAGACAGCGTTCCAATAGCCTGTTGTTAGCATGAGTCTGTTTGACTGAAGGAATGACAGTAAGTTATATTTTGCTTGAAGTTGCTGTGACTAAAGCTAAAATAACAAAATAATTGATGAAAAAGAATAAGAAATTTGTTTTCAGCCAATGCAGATGCTCAATTCTGAGTTGCTTTTAGGATTTCATCAATGACCTTTCATGTAAAGTGCAAAGATACTGAGGAACCGTGTGCACTTTCAGTTGAAAAGATTTTTAGTTTTATTGGAGTTTTAGACTTTTTTGTCTTCTTTTTTGTGGGCTTTGTCCAGTAAAATTATCTTTTAAATTCTCTGTTGAGTTCTTTAATAGGGAGCATTCATGTGTATCCATCATGAAATACCACACAAGGTCAACAATTGTATAGTGAAGGCTAACCTCTTTTACTTGTACTGTAAAGTCAAAGTAGGAGCCAGCTAATACATCCAGTTTATTTTGTAATTCAAACCACAATTACAAAGACACACACACAAACACACACCTGATACAGAAAGACATTTGTAAACGACAAACAAGAATAGAGGTAAATAGAATTCCACAGTTTTAGAAACACTTCCACTTGCAGTGCATCAGAGCAGTGCTGCATTCATATCACCCCTGCATGTGTATGCATGTGTTTGTTAGTGTGCTGTGTGAATGTGTTTGCAGAGTTTAGTAGGCCATACGTACCACATAGTGAGGAGTAAAAGGAGAGGATAGGGAAGCGTAGCAGAAGGGGGAGCCAGAAAAGCCTCGAGGGGGATAATGAAATAAGGTGATATGGACTTCTCTTCCAGCCTCAGGTGCACACAGCTCAGTGTTCATTCTTATGTGCAGTACAGTGGCGTAACAAGGTCCTGCCTGAGGCTCATTCTAATTGGAAGGGTAGAACACATTTTCCTCACTTCCCGCTCTTTTAACATGCAGCTGCTCACACACGGTAACCAGCATCTCTCGTCTCTCCGGCTGCAGCTCCTTCGGTGGCGCCTCAGTTGATCAAGGTGTCAGCCATGTCTCCCTCCACCCTGGAAGTGACTTGGGACATGCCGCCTCTGGAGACCCAGAATGGACTCATCCAAGGCTACAAGGTGACTCAGGGAAGCAAGCACAAACACAAAGGCAACAAATACAACATGCCTGCCTAAGGAAAGGCAAAGTGGGACTCAAACACACACTTAAATAAACGCTTTAAATAAGTGTCCACATCAAGCCTCCTGAAGGAGGGTTAATGCTACTGTGTCTTCAAGTGTCTTCGAGACATGAAAAAAATAATTACATATGAAGGAAAATCTGAAAATCCCTTAATGGTTTCAGGATGATTTCTTTGTTTGTCCTCCAGCTCTCACTCTTGCACTTCAGATACAAGGTTATCTGTCCTTGAGACACTGGTGTGTGTCAGAGTTAAGGACAGAAATGTTAAAGAAAGGAGTGTAATATTTGCAGAGTGAAGGAATGACATAAAAGTGGTTCACCTAGAATCCAGATCAGAGAAGAAGATGGAGGGATGGTATTTAAACTGCCGGATAGGTGGGTTCAGGTTTGAGGAGCAGGTTGTAAAGCACTGGAGGGGGGTAAGAGATTAAGATGAAAGAACAGCAGCAAAGAAAGAATAATAAATAAATTTAGAGGTTGTGACTTCCTTTACTGTTTGATAGTAGTTCTTTGAAAACTTGGAGAGAAGGAAAGTTTTGCTCCTGCTGTTCGTCACAAATCTGCAGATGATGGCATACATAATGGTGTCTTGTTTTGTATTGTTGCTCAGGATGAACATGATTTGTCACTTTCATCCTGATAGGTAGCTTCAATCTTGCTATTGTTCAAGCTTTCAGCTTCTGCTAGATCTGCTAGTTATCTCCATTTAATGTTGGAATTGTAATAAACTGAAAGGTATAGTCTATATTGAGAAGAAGACAGTTTGTGTTGATATGTCAGTCATCCAGACACACTGACATTGTTTTTCTGGGGTTTTTTTATTTACATATGGAGATAATTGCTTCTCTTCTAACCTTGCAAAGGTATATTTTTAAAAAGGGTCACATTTCTGGAAAAATATATTTTGTGCTGAGTTATTGTGTTTCTGGATCTGCTTCTGGGTGAAAGATGTAAGGTTGTACCACTGTACATCTGCTTTTCATGTTTCTGAGGAGCGAATGAAAACAATGAGTTGAGAGGTCTTCGCCAGTAGCTAATGTGCATAATTATGATATAGCCTTAAACAGCGCATTCCGCAAAACGAGCAGAACTGATTGAGTGAAGTCTCAATATCCAACAATGATTCTGTAAATTAAATGTATTGAGCATGTGTGGTATGGCTCACAGACCTATCCTATAGAAAGAATAAATAACAACAATGTCTTGATATTTATCAGTCTGGAAGGAGTTAAAAGGCAGCTTGTAAGGCTTTGGGACTCCAGTGAACCACACATGGAGAAAACGTAGAACAATATTGGCCCTTTTCTATTAGTGGGCAGCTTACCAAAAGTACACAAAACTAATACAGCAATTCAGAAACAGACCATCACATGATATTCAAAGTGATAATGGTAGTTTGCATAAAAAAATAACTGTTTATGTCCTAATAAATTATATTATTTGAAAACTGCTTTTTGTCTAACAAGATTTTTTTTGATCATCTGAAACATGTTCAGTAACAAAAGTACTAAATCAATTCTCAACAGTTGAAACTGTAAAAATAATCATCATCATGGTCATCTATGACAGATAAAACAAAAACAAAAAAATTATTGTCCTGAAAATTCCAACTGCAAAGACTGATTCATTGAACAACAATGGAGGGAATTACAAAGTGAGTTCAACTTTTAATTTACTGTTCTCACTAAATAGAGCAAGGCATATCATTCTGTTTAAATGGAACTTCCCCCTGTGCACTGAAGATAATATATACTATAATCTTTTGCTGATTGCATCAATGAGTTATTGTGTATCTCATTACCGTAAGAACTTCTAGAAGAAAGGATATGGTCAAATGCTGCCCTCAAGTGCTACTTGGAAGCTGCGATTTTCAGCTTTGGAAGCACTAAATATGGATTATGGTGCTCTATAGTGCTATATATTCTGAATAACAAGAAAATTGAGCCATTTGTATACCTCTCTGCTCGAGTTTTATTTCCCAATTGCAACAGCATATTATTTTTGTTAAAATGCTAGGTAGTGCGTTCGCTAAAAAATATATTTCAATGTCAGTTTTTGTGAGAAATTAAAAACTGTAAACCATTTATTAAATGTACCAGTCTTACAGTATGTTGCTATTTGAAAAGTTACTGGCATATCAGCAAAGTATCAGATGTATGTATAACTGAGTGGACACTCTATTCAAGTGTTCTCAGATACCAAATACATCTTGTATTAATTATTACACTATGTTTTTCAGCACATCATTATGATTATATGTGCATGTTTGTTTTTGTGGTTTCTTGGTTCTCTATTCTTTGTGTACACCATTATGGACCATTCTTTTTAACAGAAAACTGGCTTTGGATTAGTCTCTATAAACACCACAGTATCACCTTCTAACTGCAGATCAGACAATAATTAATTTGCTGTTCTTGTATAGTTTATCTGAGTTAAAAAAGGTGGTAAGACAAAATTGACTCAAGACATAAAGTAGGCTTCAGAAAAGTGACATCAGTCAAAGAAAATCTTCACTGACACTAAAACTACCAGAAATATATTTAGATCTATTTTTCCCTATCATTAAGGTGGAAAATATATGCTTTTTTCAGCAAATATTTACCTAAAAACATACAACAGTCGTATGTATTTTATTATTTGAAACCTGAAAAACAGAAATAATTTATTGGTTTCTTAAAAATGACCAATAATGTTCCAATAATGACATCTAAAGCAGATGTCATCCCCTGAGCTCTTACATCAATAATCCATTGATTTGATCAAAGATTTCCCAAAGTGCTGAGGCATCTTCTGCTGTTTTGGTTTAGCCAAGTAGGAGGGATGACCACTACAAGATGGCCACCATATTTCCTGCACCCGAGAACCCAATGCGAGATTTACTTTTTATGTCTGTGGTCTGCACCTTATTCTAAAAACGCTCCTTTTTAGTCGTACTCCTAGCTTTCTGTTTTCACCTTGCGGACTTTTTACCATAAGGAAAGGATAAAGAGTCTCTGAGATTGATCAGGGCTGTGTAAACACAATAACAAATGTAAATGTTTTATCACTTAAAGTATAGTTAGTTGCTATTCCAAATGATGGATTGAGCTGAGTTATGTTCTATGCTTAAAGCTTTGGATATTCTTTTACAACTTTCTCTGAATGCTTTTAATTCATTGAAGTACTCTTAACCTTCACTGTACAGTTGGATTTATCCTTAAACCTAAGTTATACACAGATTGACGATTAAGGTGAATTTTATAGCACTTGGTTGCACTGGGTTATATTTGGGGTTTTCAGTTTGAATGAGGCTGAATACAAGTTTTTTTTTTTTTTTTTTTTTTTTTTGGAATGGCAAAACAGTATGAATCTTTTGTTCACTGTGTTCCAGATTCATTACTGGCAAAGAGACAACCAGAACCAGACTGAGAAGATGAAGGTGATTTTTGTACCAGATACCTGTGTTCACCTCACAAACCTGACCAGCTACACACCATACATGGTCACACTGACTGCCTTTAACACAGCTGGGGATGGACCTCCCAGTGACCCCCGCGGGGCCCGAACCCTGCAGTCTGGTAGGAAGTTTGTTACAACTAAGTTCCCTGAAAACTAAACCATTAGGCAGCATGTCTTCTGATCTCCCTGGTCTGTTTGTTCCGCAGCGCCCAGCCGGCCGAGCTACCTGACCTTCTCTGAAGTGACGGGGGAGAGCGTCAACGTGACCTGGGGTGCTCCACTCACTCCCAATGGGCAAGTGGAAGGCTACCGGGTCATCTATCAGTCCACTGCTCCTGTACAAGGTATGCACAAACACAGTCACTCACTCACTCACTAAAGGGCATGTCTGCTGTTTCAAAGTGCTTTCTCCTCAAAAATCTACAGGAGTGAGTAAAGTGGTGACAGTTGATGTGAAAGGGAGCTGGCAGCGATGGCTAAAAGTTCGAGACCTGATCAAAGGAGCAACGTATATGTTTGGGGTTCAAGCTCTCACAGTCAGCTACGGATCAGCAGTGGAAGCAAACATCACAGCTCAACCTGTGAAAGGTGGGCAGAACTGACAGAAATCTCTACATGTTGTCACTTTAGTCTTTGCTTCAAATCAAATGATTTTATTTAGAGTATTAAACATTCAAAGTGTCTTTTGGTGTTTTCCAAAGAATTAGAGCTCACCAGCTGAAAATTTAAAAAATAAAAAAGATATGATTTGACCTGCAAAAATAATTATTTTTATCAAAATACAAGTATGAAGTTTACATACAAGTAACATAAGGTTAAATTTATTTTCACTTAACGCAGAAGTTTGTTTAACAGAAGATAACATCTCTGCTCTCATTTTTTATTTTTATTTAAAAAAAAATTTATACCCATCTAAATAATCAATAGAAAATTAGTAATTTGCATTTCAGCAGTCACAACTGCTGAAAGGCTTTTTTTCTGTTCCTCTGTTTTAATTAACCTTAACGGTCTAAGACCTCCTTGCCATCACCCTAAACTTTAGCTTCCTTCTTAGATTCTCCTTCAGATTCAAATCTGGACTCTGCCAAAGTTTACATTACTGCACACCAGAAATTGAGTATAATTGGATATTTGACGTCAAGAGGAGCCAGTTGAGCTGGCTTGGGCGTCTGGTCAGGATGTCTCCTGGGCACCCTCCAGGTGAGACGCGGACCCCCTGTAGGAGGCCCCGGGGAAGACCCAGCACACGCTGGCAGGACTATGTTTCTCGCTTGTCCTACGAACACCTGGAGATTCCCCTGGAGAAGGAACAAGTGGCTGGGGAGAGCCTTCTTAGGCTGCTATCACCGCAACCTGACCGCGGATAAGCAGAAGAAGATGGATGAATGGATATATGACCACTCTTCTTGGTAGAAATGGTCATTCATTTAAACTGGTCCCTGCACTGCTCCTTGTTTACAGCATTCCTTACAAATTTCCAACAAGATTTTTGCCAGTGCAATTAATAATTCACAATATTTATATACTGCCAATTTACAACAAATGTCATCTCAAGGCATTTTACAAAATATTATTTCAATTCAAGCACACATACATTCCAATTGATCCTACGTATTAAACAGTGCAATATGCTCAATTAATCACTCAACGTATTAAAAAGAAACCCAGGATAATGTATTGTATTGAACCAAACATGAAGTACCAACCTCTGCCACTTCCCCTTCTGACACAAATGGAAACAAAGTGGAAATGAATACTTATTGTTATTATAAGGCCAGTTTTATTTATCGGACCAATACTGATAAGTTAAAAATTGACTAATACCAGTCGATACTGATGTTAGTGCCAACGTATTGTGCATTCTAATAAATTATAGGTAGGATTAAACTATATTCTGTAGGTTGAGTCCCAGGAAAATAACACAAATCAGTACCATGTCTACATGTGAGTGTGTTCCTTTAATGCTGCAGGGTCCCCTGGACCGCCGGTGGAAATGTCCATCACCAAAACATCCTCTGCCCTCACCATCCACTGGTCAGAAGGAGACATGGGTGCAGCTCCTGTTACTGGTTACATTGTGGAGGCGCGTCCCTCAGGTGAGCTCTGTTACTCATTGCTCCGACCTTTGCACTGTCTGCACTGATCCTTTTATTTACTCACACTAAACTGTGCTGAGTGCAAGTCTCTCTAGATACCATTATGCAAATCAAGTCAGGAACAATTAAAGAGCTGTGTGTGTATGTTTCTGTGCGTGCATGTGTGTGTATGTCCACGCGTGTCTGTGTATGTGTGTGTGAGGGCGTGGCCATGTGTGTGCAGCATTCTGCAGGAGAGCAATTGTAGTCTTTGATTTAATTTTTCTTCCGCTAACAATAAATAAGCCTTTTTATTAAAAGTCGTAACAGCAATTACTGCCTCCACCATAATATTGTTACCATCTAAAATGTGTCATTCTTACTCACAGTTTGTAATTCTATCCATCCACTTGTGTTAATGAAACTTGTATTCCTGTAGATGAGGGAGTCTGGGATTCCTTCATCCGACTCCTCCCTCCAGCCAGCAGGTCCATCTCCATGCCCCTGGAGCGTCTGAGGTTGGGAGTCAGCTATGAATTCAGAGTCATTGCTGTGAATCGCTATGGTTACGGACAGCCAAGCGCACCCTCCATGGCTCTTGCTGGTAAACACACACAGATGTACAAACCACTGGAGATAATGCACTAATGTGTTTCAGACCTTTAAGCAAATTTTAATGTCAGTAGATCCAGCCTGATGGACACAACATACTGAGGTGATTAGGCTTTTGCTGCCACCAAAAGGCAGAAGTGCTTCAGCTACGGTCTGTGTAACAGGTCAAACAGAAATCTAAACCCAGATACTTATCAGTTACCTTTAAACATTTTGTTAGCACTTCTAATGAACAGATCAGAGGAACAGACACTTAGAGTCGTCTTTATTTTCAAAGGATTTTCTGTGACATTTTACTTTTTGCATTCTAAATGCACAATATGCTGAATAAGTGTAAAATTAAAAAAACACTATTGTCCCATTAAAGGGGCAATTTTATGTAAAATCAAACTTTTTTTAGCTTTACATCAGGTTATAATGTTATTCCTTCATTAAAAACATACTGGGAGTGTTCCCTTCTTTCATCTATATTTAAGAAATTCTTCAATCTCCCACAGCAACCATTCAACTGTGTATGCAGTTGAATGGCACCTCAAAGAGCAGACCTCCCTGCAACTTTCTCCTTCAGTCTAGCTAGCAGAAATTAGTAAACATCTGATGGAAGTGTGCATCTGTAAAGTATGATTTCATTTGGAAAAAACTTTGTTACAGGGTTAATAGATGAGCCATGTTGTGATGAGTTCCTGAGTTTCAGAAAGAGCAGGAGTTTTTAAGGAGACAAAGGCTCAATTTCAAGGATGAAGTTGAATTCTTTTAAGTAATATTTGACATGCATAGCATTTTTATAACAAGTGAAGACATCATAGTTCCTTGATTGTGCCATGAAATGGCACTTTGCCTGGAAAATACACAATACTGCCCTTTTAATAAATGTTCCCCCTGACATTTTCTTTTTTGTCCTGCTAATGTGTTTCAGACCATTAAGCAAATTTTTATGTTAGAAAAGAACATTTAGAGTAAATAGAAAATACCTATTTATGCTGGTGAAGCAAAATCCCTGATGTTGGTATCCATTGCTATTAAAAATGATTTGGAGTCACTTAGATCTTTAATGAAAGTATATTGCAATGTTCAAATAATTTTGGAAAAAAAAATACATCAATGTGTTTTTTGTTTGTTTTTTACAAATTTCAAAGCATTTTCTGCTTATGCTCTTTAGACAGTTTCTGCTCTGAAGAAAATACAAATTGACAGAATTGATGAGAAATTATCTGAAATGTTTTTGCAATCATCAAATATTATGGAGACTCATATTTAAATAATTTCTTGATGGTAATGTGTGGCTGGGGAATTTTCCAACTTTGTTTTACCCCAGGGGTATAACTTTTTATTTTTTATTTTTTTTGTTTTATAGATGGCCATGTTGGTTTGTAAGGGAGCCTTTTAGAGGACACATGGAATTTTATTTTTTCTTTTGCGTTCCCTCGCAAAAATGTACTGATCAGTTCATGCGGCATAATTGAATACTGTTAGCCGTTCTTATGGTGGCCATCATACTTTCTGCTATAATTTAAGGCTTTCTTGCATGCATGTTAATATCTCTGGAAATATCTGGTGTCATTTATCTTTCTTTAGGCTAGAAATGCACCACAAACATAATGATATGAACAGAAATTTGCTGTAAGTAGGAAAGAAATAAAAAATACATCCAAACCATTTGGACTATCTATTTCTGAGTTATTGCAAGGAAATTAGTCAGTTTTGATTGTATCTCTTTATGTTGGCGGTCTGAATAGCTTAAAGCAGGTCTGCTCAAGTCCAATCCTCGAGAGCTACCATCCTGCAACTTTTAGAAGCATTCTTACATCCTTAACGTCCTAATCCATCTCTCTGCTGCAGCATTGTCGGAGCGTCCTTTTTATGAAGAGTGGTGGTTCCTGCTGGTGATGGCTCTGGTGGGCCTCATCGTCATCCTGGTCCTGGTCTTTACTCTGCTCTTGCATGGACACAACACCAAATACAAGGCCTGTAGTACAGGTCTGTTCTTCTCTTAATCATCCCTTCAGTCTTTCGGGTGCCACAATTGTGCAAATGATGTTTCTCCATTTATTTTTATTCTTCAGACAAAACATTTTCAGCTTAAATAGCATCGTTTATCTTCACCTAAACATAGAGATTCAGAATAGTCTGTTTTTCTGACACTGAAAAGCTGAGACACTTTTGGGGCACCTATCCACGTGTTTGTTTATAAAACTGCCTCCAGCGGCTTGTTGTGCTGAGAGGTGTAACCTTGTTCCTTCATTCTGATTAATCGGGACAAAGCCCACTCCCAAGTGTCTGACTGGATTTTTGTTTTCCTCTCTGTAATTTATTATTCTCAAATGGTTTTATTTTAGTACAGAAATCTACTCAGCTTTTTTGTACTTGTAGCAGTAGCTACATCAAGTTGCACTTTTATTATTTAATTTTCCTTTGAGATTAATAAGGTATTTTGAATTGAACCAAAGCCAAATAAATTATGAAGATCAGTTGAACCTAACTCCATTTGTTGTATTTCTCCAATACTGAGCTTTGGAGATTTCCTTTATGTTCCATCTTCCTCTTTGAAACAGTGGAAAGCGGACTTTTGTGCCTCCTCTAATCTTAATTGTCACAGTTCCTGTTATTTTAACATCTTTAATTGCTGCACTATGTTAATGTATTCATTATAATGACTATATTTAACTGTGAATTTAACCACTTCTGAAAATCAACACACATTTTCCTTTTCCAAAATACCATTTGGCTATTTGCTGCACCACATTTATAGCCTAAACAAACAGAAAGGCATGGATTATTGATTATTGATCTAATCAACATAAATAGCTTGTTAATTAAACTAATAGATGCACAAAATGACTTAACTTGAATTTTCTCATCATTGTTAGGATGCCACTTGTGAATTATTTCTTTATGTTGAAATTTTTGATTGATTAATTGACTTTCCGACATAATAGCAGAATGAGAGTAAAATATCATAATTGTTGCAATTTCTTAGCAGACTGAATAAATGTTTTTTTTTTCCTAATCGTCCTGTGCCTTAAGAGGATCCATGTTTCGTTGTAACAATAGACTTGAGAAATATTTATTTTCGATGTAAAAGCAATACAGCAATAATACTGTAGGCTGTTCAGTTTCTAGAATTTTGAATTGAATTTGTCTGACAGATGATGACATTATGTGATAAGAAATCATGACCTTTTTTAAAAATTGAGTTTATTTTGTGAGAATGAGTCTACTCACAAATAATATGTGAAAAGATTGATGTCCTCCAGCTCCTCCCTGAGCTGCTGTTGCTACAGGAAGGCCTTAGTGCTGTCAGTTAATGTTGCTAATGCATTCATGACATTCCCTGCTAGCTGCATCATAGCAAAGAGCAAGGAGAATGAGCAGCGCTAAAAGAGATTGTGACTGACTGTGTTAAGCCCCTCCTGCTGCCTCTGATTGGTTGTTTCCCAGTACTTGCTCCTTTCAGCACTGGGAGCATTGGAACGAGGCAGAGGAGCTTGATTTTTTCTCATTGATTTTCTGTCTCATCCCATACTGTCAGACATGGTGACAGTTTCAACACATATAAAAAAAAATTGCTGAGTAGTACAAGTAGAATTGAAAAAACAAGATGTCCTCCTGTATAGAAACAATAATCTACTGGACCAGCTTCTTCAAATGTCCTTTTTTTTTTTCTATTTCTGTAGGAAAGCACATTACTCCAGGGGAGGAGTCAGTAACCCTTGACAATGGAGGTTTTACTTCTCTGGAGCTAAACAGCAGAGTACTCAACACCAAGAACTCCTTCCTCAAAAAGAATGGGACCAGGTTAGCTCTCCCAGAGGATTACACAGCACTAATCCTCATTGGAAGAAAAATAATAGTTTCAACATCCAAACTTGTGTTCAGATCTCCACCCAGGCCCAGTCCAGGCGGGCTCCACTACTCTGATGAAGATATCTGTAACAACTATAACGGAGCCATGCTCACTGAAAGCACCACACTCACAGAGAAACCCACTGAGGTCTCTGAATCAGAGGTATCTTTGTTTTCTAGTCTGTCTTTATGAATGTGGCTTCCCAATGTTTTCTTCAGTTTAAGTTCCTCCTGTTTCTATTTGACGTAACTTCATCTCTATATGTGTAATGATTTTACACCAGTGTGTCTGACTTATGAAGATCAGTTGGTCAGTGTTGGATTCTACCTCCATGTGTGATCACTAGTTTTTAACTGATCTGGCATCTTTTTACCTACAGATTGTGTGGGTTAATTTTTATTGTTATTAAGAAAGGAGCAAATACCAGTAGAGTGAGAAAGATTAATCCTTCACATTGTGCCTCAATCAGTTTTGGTTCTGGATTGAGTTCATGAAACTGAAACTATAATTTGATATAAAATATTCTAACAAGTCTGGAAAAGCAGAGTATTTATTTTTTCAGTTTGGGAAAATATTTGTTTTTTCCAACTTTATTCGAAATTCTGTTCTCTGAATTAATTTATCTAGTCATTCCTTTACCCTGAATTTGTCAAATCATTTGTCCATCTATTTTTCTACTATATTTTCATCCTTCCTACCTTTTGTTTTGGTTTACATTCAAAACCTATCAATACATCTGTCATAAGTTCACTTGGAATGTTTGTGTTCATGCTTTCAAAATTATCCCCAAAAAATTTTTACTGAAAATTCTCGAACCACTGTCACATGTCTCAAAACAATTGTGACCAATTTGATCCTTACAATTCAGAAGCAAGTTACATTTTGAAGAAGAAACTCTGTCTGATATTGTCTGAGGTGTACAGTCAAAGAAAAGTGACAAGTATTCTCAGTCTTCAGTTTGTGTAACATATCTCCTGTCAAAAAAGCTAAAAAGAGAAACATAGATTCATGACTGATCTGACTTATTATAATCCTCAAAGAGTTAGTTGTCAAAACAACATGAAACTCCGCTAACAGGCTCTGACTGTTAGCGGAGAGCGGTACAAAGCTCTTAGTCCAACAGAGGAAGCTGAAAAAAGCCAGGTTAATCAGTGGATATAAATGCTCTAAGAAGGCTTTTTAAGATATTTGTTGTGGTGTTAAATCACAGTGCTGTAACTTTGGTTTAATAAAATAGAATAGTCTCTGATCAATATTAAAAAAAATGAAATTCCAGATATAACAAAAAAGACTACAAAGAATAACAAAGAAATCTAAACATTACTACACTGTTCAAAAAAATAAAGGGAACACTCAAATGATACATCCTAGATCTGAATGAATGAAATAAATATGAAAATCATTTCCACCTGTTGTCTATTCCATTTGCACAACAGCAGGTGATATTGATTGTCAATCAGTGTTGCTTTCTAAGTGGACAGTTTGATTTCACAAAAGTTTGATTTACTTGGAGTTATATTGTGTTGTTTGAGTGTTTTTGAGCAGTATATATTAAACAAATACAGCATTATGAAAATAGTGTATATGTGCTGATTATATTGCATCCTTTACAGATATGTATCATATTACACAGGTCTCACACTTTAGTACCTCGTGAATTTGTGTCTTGCAAAAATAGTCACATGCCTGGAACTTTGACATGTCATAAACTTCTGTGTATTTTACCTGAGATGTACAGTTGAAACCAGAAGTTTACATTCACAGAATAGAAAGGCACAGGCACCATTTTGTTTCTCACTATCTGAAGATAAACCACTTTATCTGGATCTCTGAACATCTCTGAATGCTTTGTGCCATTGTTAATTTGGAATCTTTAGATGTTTCCATCCAAATGTAATGATGCTCATTATGACCAAACAGATCAGGACATGACTCCATAAATGAAAGTTACTGTCCTTGTGTGCATTTGCAAACTGCAATATGGCTGTTACAATTGCCACAACATATTTGAGGACATGTAGGCAAAAATGAGGATTCAAAAAGTAATTTTATTTCAAAACTCTCTTGACCATTTCTTTTGGTTCTGCTTCTTTTGATTTTCCTGTGGAGGAAAAGAGAGAATTAAATCCTCAGTTCCCTGTGTGCCAAAGAAAAAAAACAACAACAACAAAAAACAATTCCAAAGTATGAGGAGAAAGTTGGACCAGATGAGCCGATCAAAAAAGAACAACACGATACAGCAGGGGACTAACCTTGCTGGCAGTCGAAGCCCCTGCTAGTACCGGAATACCAAAAAAAGGAATCTCTTACAAAGAAACAAAATTGAAAACAGGACAATTGGTCCCACCAGGCCAAAATCACAACAAAAAAAAACCAGCAAACAAACAAAGAGCTAATAAGAAAATACTGCAGGCTGGTGACGTCAGGTGCGATTAGAGACGTGTGCACCGCGTCAGAATACATCCTCGGTGGTGGTTGGTGGTGGTCATTGGCTTTACCTGGCGCTTTACCCAGCCTATTTATAGGCGGTCCAACAGCCACAAATTAACAAGATCAAATTACAAGAAAGAAATTATCCAAATTCAAAATATTAAACAAAATCAAATCATTCAACTAAAGTCAATACAAAACAATCCAGCAAAGAAAAATTAACAAACATAATTATAATATGCCCGAGGCACATAACAGGCTGTTTAATATTTCTTTTGAAGTCATAGTTTCCTCTTCACAGAGTGCACAGACCACTTGAGATCAAACTCCAAGTTTGATCTCAAGTGACTAGAGCACATTCTCCCACATTGTTTGCTTTATCCCATCATGACTTGTGGCCAGTAACATATTAATGTAATCCCGTTACTTTTTCAAGTAACGAGTAAAATAAGAAACTACAATTTTAAAACATTAATTAGATTACTGTTACTGTTACAAGCAGACTGTGATTTTGTTTGTGATCCTCTCATGACAATCATGTCTGTGCGTGCGTCTTCACTGGTCATGGTAACAGACCAAAGTGTAAATCAGCAGCAAACAGTACAGAGTGCAGCAGAACAAAGTAGCGTTTAATGCTTGGAAGCGCAGTCATTAGCTCAGCTCAGTGACGAAAATATTTGCATGCGCTTTGTGCTCTGTGTGGGGAGAAAACTTATCTCTAGAGAAAACTCCACTTCATATTGAACAGTAAGCTGCAGAAGCCCCCAGACCCTGACTTGACCAATGCAGCTTCCACATAGATTCCACCGGGCAAACCTCTGACAGCCCCTCTTCTGATAAACAGGTGAAAAGAGATTTTTTTAAAACTCTTTACTAATCCTCTCTCCACTTCAAAAACTGTTAAAAGATGGAAATGGTACTAATTCAGAGGACAGTCAGGAGATATCAATTAAAGTAATTTTATATTGTCACTGTATTTTACATCTATTTTGAATGAAAGAAGGCAAACACAAAAATAATTGTGCTTTGTATGGTTAGGAAGAGATATAGAGAGAGACAGAAGAGAGAAGAGAGACTGAATTTTCTTCATCATGGAATGTGCAGAAATAATTCTTCAAATCAGACTGGCATTTCATTACTTTTTTTGATGAAATGTGCATGAAGTTATAAGCCAAACAAAAACAAGTAAGGAAATAAAGTAATTTAAGTAACTAATTACTTTGAAAATAAGTAATCAGTAAAGTATTCACCGGATTATTTTCTCGGGGAAATGATCAGTAATTAGTTTCAAATTACTACTTTAGGTAAGTTGACCAACACTCCTTATGCTAAACCTCAGTCATGAGTTCTGCTCTTTCTTTCAATCCTGACTTCATTCTATCCATCCTGCATGAAGGCTAGAATTGCAGAATGAACAATCGTTCTGTAAACGATGATTCACCTGAGCTGTGGATGTAACGACATAATAAAAAACGTGATCAGTTTGAATTTTAGGCTGACGTTTACTGCATTGCTTGGTGACTAGGGTCAGTTAGAATGTATGTATGATTGGATTGAGGTGACATGTTGTGAATTACCACTAACTATATATATAAATGATATAAATAAACCACTTATGTAATGTTTAGTTTAGTTTTATTTTATTTTATTCATGTTTTAAAAATCATTTTTATACGTTTCAAACTCAGTTAGTTGTCCTGGATGTTATTTACAGATTTTAGATTAAAGAGTGATCCCACTTTTAATTCTTTATATACACTTCAAAATTAAGCACAACTTTGTGTTGGTTTGTCACACAGAATCTCTGTATAATACAAATAAATTTGTTGTGGTAATGTAATAAAAAGTAGTTAAAGAGAGACTTCATGCTTTATGTTGAAAGTCTGTTTGAAGAGACAGACTGAGTTGATTGACATCAACATGTTTATGACTTTGAGGGGACAAAAGTTTCTTTTTCCTTTTTAGATTTTAATGGCAGCTTGTATCCATTATTTGGACAGAAGTTCTGAGTCGGTTTGCCTTTGTTTTAATTAGGCCTCTAGCGCCCTCCAGAGGGCACTAGCTCAGATGTGTTGAGAGGGAGTTTATTCTTCACTTTTTCCTTGAGCCAACGATCCTCTCAACTTATTTGGAAGCCTGCTTTTTATAAAAATTCAAATATGTTTTAAAATAGCAGGAAAATAGAACACAATAGCTTTTTTTTCTATACCAGTAATTTAGTTTTTCTGTCTTACTCTTGTTCCTATAATAACTGGTAAGTTAATAAACATCCTGTGGTTTGTGTGCAGTTAACGGACAGCGACTACGAGGATGAACAGCCAAAGCACTCCTTTGTCAACCACTACATGAGCGACCCTACCTACTACAACTCCTGGAAGCGGCAGCCCAAAGGCCTCAAAGGGTCAGGAAATCCTTTTGCCTACGAGGAGTGTGCCACCACTGACACGGAGCCCTACTATCAGACGGTGGTGACGCAGCACAGCACAGGGGGAGCTTACACACCCACAGGACAGCCCGTGCACACACACATCAACCCCAGCGCGAACCCGCCGGGGTCACGCACTCCTATGACGGGGTTTTCTTCCTTCGTTTGACTCTAGAGACAGCATTTGCACAAAAAATGCACAAACACACACACACACCCACATGGATGAAAGGGGGTGCTGCCATGTGAGTGGGCTGAAGGAACTGGGGACAAAGGAGCTGTCACATCCCACAGAACTAAACTCACACTTCTTACTCGCCTTCGTCTCTGTTCATGAAGACCCTGTGTTCAGTGTGTGCTCTTTTTCTGCGTGTGCTAAAACGCACTGTTACCGTCCTCATTGTTCACAAATTCTTACCAGCTTATTTAACCAGATACTCCTGTCTACTTCAGAGACTCTCCATAGAGAGCCATAATGACTGTATTTATGTGTTGAGCCCATTAATGTCTTGCTAAGACCCCCCCTGGAGCTGAAGAAAGCTGGAACTTCTGCACAAAACTTCTCGTCTGTTTTCTGTACCTACACTTAAGTGCACAAGTCCCCACTTAACGCATTCTCTGATGCACTATTTCAGCATCTCCAGCTGAGAGACAGGAACTTAAAAGGCTGTGGGAGGAAAAAAACTGCACACAAGTGAGCTGTTTTTTTTTCACAGACTGGTCCATGCACACAAACGTAGCGTTACCAGATTTCAGATACCACAGCAGACAAGAAAGGTGAAAAATGTTTGATAATGACAGCTTTTTGAATCTGAAATGGACAGAGCGTGAGCATGAGCAGATGTTTTTCAGCACTTACCTGTAATGTCAGAGTGTCGAGCGGTTTGGGAGAGTGATGTTTGAATTGGAATACAGTACTTTGAAATATGTTCACACTTTGTTACATTGCAACCTCAAAATTCAGCTTTTATTATTAGGATTTTATGTGATAGACTATTACAAGGTGGTGCATACTTGGAAAATTAAAAGAAAAAGGATAGTTTACAAACTTCCCAAAGAAAAACAGTGTGCTACACATTTGTATTCAGTCTCCTTGCATCAGAACTTTTGCTGCAGCCACAGCTGCACAACTGGCAAATCTACAGATTAAATCTACACATTAAAAGTTTTTATTTGCAAAAGAGCTGCTGCTCAGACAGGATAGAGAGCTACTGTGAACATCCTTTTCAAGTCTTGGCTTAAATTTACCTCTTGACTGAGCCATTCGTAATAAGACATGATCTAAACTATTTGTTGTAGCTCTGGATGTTTTTAGGGAGGTGCTAACCCTAGCCCTTTTTTTTGCTATGCTGTTTGTGTTGGAGAAGCATCCCCAAAGAATAATGCTGCCACTGTCCTGTGGGTGCATGGTGCATTCAAGTTTCAATCTATATTCAGTTGACTTCACTACAAAGACACAATATTGTTCAAACAGGTAAACTTTTTTTTCCCCTTTTTCAATTATTTCGATTTGATGTCTGCAATACATTCCAATGAAGTTGAGATATTGTTTTACACAATAACATCCCAACATCACTGGAATTGGGTTTATATAAAGATTATATTTACAGTTTACATTACATGAGAATTTTGGGATCATCTGACTAGAGTTCTTTGATCTTACTCCTAGGTCAGGGGTGCTCAAGTCCAGACCTCAAGAGCTACCATCCTGTAACTATCAGATGCATCCCTGTTCTAACACACCTGAATCGTTACCAGGCCTGTTCATAGCTGAGCCTGATCTACTGGAGTAAGGCTGCAACTAAAAGTTGCAGGACGGTAGCTCTTGAGGACTGGACTTGAGCACCCCTGTCCTAGGTGGACTACATTTACTAAGTATTTGACACTTAGTACATGTAGTGTCACTGGATTTTATTTATGAGTATCAGAGTGAAGAGGGTTAATAAAAAAAAAAAAAAAAAAAACAGCACACCATAATTAAATTACTTTTCAATTTTTTTTAATCATTTACCCTTTCTTGTACTACTCTGTTTGTCCAACCCCTAACTTCCTACTTCTGGAGTGTGTGGTTTTAATGTCACAAATGTTAAAAAAGTTAGACATATTAATACATATACTTTTAAATGTATATGTAAAAATTGTTTTTTGTTTTTTTTTTTTTTTTGTTTTTGTTTTTTTTTACTGTGTAATTCCTGTCCTCCTTTTACCAGGAGGACAGGTAAGCTTCCTAAGCCATAATGCTTGCCCTGTGCTGAAGTAACAAACATTTCATGTTCATTTTGCCCAGATGTAATTTTGTTTGTCCAGGTCTTGAGTGCGACAGGTGTGCCTACAAGCTAACATGTGAAACAGTTCTGTGCTCACTAAGCTTGCGCTAATGTCTGGGAAGTTCATTGCACACCAACATGTGCCATAGTGTGTGTGTGTGTGTGTTTGTGTTTTAAGATGGATTTTGTACAATTAAGCCCTTTTTACTTCTGTGTTTTATGTAGTTCTGATGTTTATCAAGCAGCAAAAGAACACAGCAGGAGGAGGGAAAACAAGTCTGATTTCTCATTTTTTTTAAAAATCAGAAAAATTGACAGAGAAGGGAGCAAGTTTAAAGATGCTTCAGAGGAGCATTGTTCAGATTTGAATGTTAGAGCTCCCACAGGCTAAACATTGGTTTAACTTTCAGGTATTAGGTGACTGATGCTCTCTGACTTGTTTCTCCACATGTAAACAAAATCCATCTGTGAGATTTTGCTTCTGATTGATTTAATGGTTCTCTGGCCAAGCAACAGTGGTTATCACTCTGACATGCTTATTATCAGCCTCATACAGTGTGAATAAATGATCATTGTATAACAGCGTTTTAGTGAGTCTGTAAAAAGGAAGTTAACATCATTACGCAGACAGGATTACAGATGTGGCCCAAGATGTGGGCCACATGTCTGTGTGTTTCAGAGCAACACAGTTAAAGGAGTAAAAGAGGAAAGTTACATTGAGCTAATTACACTGAAAAAGTGGGATTTATCACCATGTTGGTGTTCATTTTTTAATCTCAAAGTTAAAAATGCAATCACTACTTTAATTACACAAGAATAACAAAAACATGAAAAAACAACTTAAAATTGAAGTACTAAAATGAAAAATGCTTAAGTTATTGCTTGGTTGTCTATGACATGGAACTTTCCATCTATAATTAATAGTACATATAAACATGACAATGCTATCCTGCATTCATTACTTTCACAGGAGCTAAATGAAAATAAGTTTCCAGATTTACTGGCTATTAGCTATTCCTGAGTGACCAAAAGGTGGAACTTAATTATTGAAACCTCTGACATTAAGAACAATTTTTTCTCTTTGCATTTAAATTAAGTGTTGTCTCCTTTAACTTTAAGGAGCTCTCAACACTTTATATGTGTCTCCCAAATCTGGCAAGAGATTAGTTCAGCCTGAAGGATTTTAAATCAACCCTTCCAAACAAGAAAAAAATTACTTTGTTGTATTTTCTCTTTTTTTTCAGTGCTCAACCAATTCTTTCCCTAAGCAGGGAACTCAACTTCATTGGAATGATACAGAGGAAGACTCCAGAACTACCATCATCACTCTACTTTGACTTTTTTTCATCTTTAATGTATTCTGGAAGTGAAAGTATTCTGAGCTAACCGAGTGAAAATAGCATACAGTGTGTTTGTAGACAGAGGCTGATCAGCAGAGCTTTTTTAGCAGGACCCTCTGTGTTTTTCTGCTGATGTCTGTCCCTAGACAACAGGAAGAGAGATTACTTAAACCTAAGAGTAACCCTACGACATGAACACCTTATTCTAAGAGACTACTGGAATCTCAGATGGCTCTGTTGCAACATCTCTGACTCCAACTGGACAAACAGGAAGTTTGACTGCAGGCATCTTCCACCCACATTTTTGATATGGAACAAGAAATGGCAATAAGTGGTGGAGATGAAGAGTTGCTGCTTTAAAGACAGGTGTTGCTCTTCAAACCAGTTTGGGATGTGTGTTTGGCATTATTATCCTGTTAGAAACTCAATTGTGTCAAAGTTCCCATCATCTAGTTGTTCTGAGGTGAAATATAGTTCCATCCACTTCATGCAGTGTACCAGAAAAACATTGTGCCTCAGTTAACCCAATGTAGAACTTGCTGGACTGTAGAAGATGGCCATGGTGTTGGATCAGCTTCCAACACCATGGAAGCTGCTCCATAGTCTTGTGTTGGTGTTGAACCACTTTCCTTTAATAAAAGGAAAGAGGAATGGAAAACTGGCAATCAATGAATCAGGAGTTCTGGGGTGAGGAGGACAGCATCTGCTGCAATGGGACTAAGTGAGACTGATTAAATACATATGGAAGAACTGAGGAATGGAGGTGAAGAGATGACATAACACACAGGGATCAGGTACAAGATATAACTAAACTGAACATAACTAAACATCTAGGTGCCAAGGAATGAAACACAGAAAAATAACCATGCACACACACACACACACACACACACACACGCCCACACACTAATACCAACTGGTAAATTAGACTGTGGGTGGAACAGAACAAAACCACAAGATGAAAACAGAATCCTTCAACTCATGGCTATATGGTACTGATGCCAACAAGTCAGACTGTATTTGTAAATAAGATATTTTTCTGTGCAACTGAAGCCAAATCTTAAATTTTTCAAACATTTGCAATCTCTTTTGGTATGTTTAAAGAGAAATGTATAATACTTCAATATGCCTGCATTTTTCCTTCCAAATGGCACTCAGTCATGCAACTGAGGCAGAGGCAGATAATAAGAACTCTTTCTATCCAACAAAACTGATTATGGAAACAATGTACATGGTTTTCTGCTGTGTCTGAGCTGGACTGATTTGGTGAGGTTATTTTGAACAGGAGGAGAAGCTTGCCCACTGATCAAACATAAAGTGGGTAACTAGAATCTAATCTGCTCAGGCTGAATTAATCCCTCACAAATTAATTTCAGCCACTTTGACCCTAAACATAGACAGGAAAACACCTGACATTTAAATGACTGACTAGGATGACGACCTTTTGACACTGATTAAACCCCTGAGCATTAGTGCAAACAAAAGGAGAGCACTCAGAGCCGACATCATTCTGACAAATGTGACACATTCTAACTTGTTAAAATTGGTAAAAACTTTTTCCATTTTTAAATGGAATTTTTTTTAAGTTGTTTTCCTGCTTTGTGTTATTTAGTGACTATTTCTTATTCAATTTGGATTCAGTTCAGGAATTCTGTATTATTTAATATTTACATATCAGAAAGCAGAAAGCCCAGGGTAGTCTGAGGGGTCCGAAATTATCTAGAAACTGGCTGCATTGCTTTGATAGACTGATTTTTTTGTCAATTATGTTTAGCTCTTTTATGAGAAGAATTTGAAATGGGAGGGACTAAGTACTACAATTAGCCAACAGCTCAGTGAGTGGAAGCCAAGAACAGAGAGAGACAGAGAGAAAAACAAAAATGTATGCTTTTATTTCTTACCATCTTCAATATAGAGCCTCTAAAAACACAGACACACATAAATCTGGAGTGACTTTTAGAGATTATTTTAACCTCACTTATAATCATTTACAAAATGTGTGATGGCAAGATAAACTTGGATCAGCTTCTGACTTTGTTTACTTAGCTCCAGGTACCACCCTGTGTTGGTCCCATTGAATACATTTCTTCAAATCAAAAGTTGAATTTTGCACAACTTTTTGTTGCAAAACTTTGACACAGGGTCAGTGTATGTTTTGGTGATTAGACTTTCACATCAAAAACCAGTTGACAAAAGCACAGTATTCTAGATATTTTAAAATACAAATTTTAAATATAGAATACCAGATATTTAAAATTTTAATAGATTTTTTGTGTTTAGAAACAGATTAGTAGAAATTAGTAGAAATTTGTTTTTCTCTTCATATTTAAATTACAAAAACTGAAATAAGATACACTTTTTTTTCCCTGGGCATTAATTCTGGTGTAATAATCTACATCTTAATTAGAATATGCTTCACCCCAATACATCACTGCCTTTAAAAGTCAGGGAGACATTATGAAATCATGTAAAAATACGACTTACTTAAAAGAATAAGACTTTTATGTTTGTTTTGACGTTTTTTGTTGTTTTTTTTTTCTTTTTTTTTTGTTAGGGGAATAACTTACGAAAGGCATTTTGTAACGTATTCCTCTATCATTTTTTACTCAGAAGTTGTACTCTTTTTTACTTACAAGTAAAAAAGAAATGTAAAGAGATATAATATAGTCTGTATTTTCTCTGTCTGTATTTCATAATAGTGTTGATGATTTTACTTTGTTGGAGAAGGAAAAAAGAAAACCTTTCAGATTCATTTTCAGTACAATCGTATTTAGACAATAAGTACTATTGATATGTCCAAATTTATACAGATGCTTCAAAAAACTCAATTAGCAATAATGGGGTGTCATTCATTGTTCCAGAATTCAGTATTAAAAACTGCAAAAGAATTACTGATGGAGTATCAGTTTATACAGGAGAGATGATGGGAATCATTTTAGCTTTAGGATGGATTGAGGAAGTTTGTCCATTAAGAAGCATAGTATGTTCTGATTCCAGTTCATCATTATATTCATTAAAAAATAATCCTGCTCTTAGTAGACCAAATCTTTCATTAGAGATTCAGTTATTAATTTATAGAATTCAGGCAATGGGTTGTGTTTACGTGGATACCGTCACATAATGAGTTGGCAGATAAATATGCAAAACAAGCTACAAAAAATAGCTATCTCGATATTTTAATTCCATACAGTAAAGAAGAAATCAAGTCTATTATTAAACAAAAGGTTCAGGAAAGATGACTGAAGCAGTGGGAAGAAGATATAAGTGTTAAGTGGCTTACAGTATCCAAAGTAAAGTTGGTGTAATGAGAACAGAAAGAAGTAGAAAAGAGGAAACCGTTATATCCAGATTACGTTTGGTCACACAGGGTTAAATAGTACATTACTTAAAATGGGAAAACATCCAACAGGAAATTGTGATTTTTGTCTTCAAGAAGAGACAGTAAAAATGTTTTGTTGTTCTGTTGTAAATACTCTGTTGAGAGAAGGGGATTAAGTATGTCGATATTAAGAAAATTAATTACAGTTAAATATACAAGACATTTTGGACAAAATTTCTACTTCTGAATATTTTTGTTATTTGATAAATTACCTTAAGAAAACGAAATTGATAGAAAGAATATAATTTTTATTTATTTATTGTTATTATTACTATTTGGTTTTTTTTTTTGTTTGTTTGTTTGTTTGTTTGTTTGTTTGTTTGTTTGTTTTTGGGTGTGTGGGGGGGGGGGGTGAATATATGTAGCATCCCGATCCACACTCCATTCCAGTAGATGGCAGTAATGCACATCGATAAGTTGCTTGCCAACCGCCATGTAAAAAAGAAGAACTGTTTGCCGTCCAGTGGCTCCTTGACGCCAGGCGTCACTGTAGGGCGCTAAGAGGAAGCTGTTCTGAGAGCTTGCTTGGTCTCCGGAAACAGTATTGGGAGCGTAACGGGCTTGTTTTTACGTTTGTTTCTAATTCTGCTGCTTTCCAGCTCCGCTTATCGACCTAACACCGCAGTATTTACTGTCGACTGATTAAAATCTGCACCGCAGTTAGAGCAACGAACCTAAACAGCAGCCGCTCGGAGCTGAAGCATGCAAGTGTGTGTGTGGAGATCTGAACACGTCGTGAGTTGTGACACCCTATTACCCCCTCTTTGTGGTGAGTTTTCCTGAGCTCCGTCTCGTCATTGTTTTGTCCTGCTCGTTTTTTTTATTATATATTTGCACCTTTGTTATGTGCTGTTGGTCCTGTAGAAGATAGAAGACAGCTTTTATAAACCTCTGTGGTGTTTATAACCACCCACCCCACACCACAGGAGGTGTGGGGTGGGTGTCCTTGCCTCATTCATTTAACAACTGTTTAAAACATGGAACTGATCCACTCGCAAGAATTGGAGGATATGACTTAAACCTGGAGGAACCATCATTTTGTGCTCCATCTGAATAACGTTTAAACAAATGTGGCTTGTAAAGATGTAAATAGATGAAGTTAGTTTTAAAATGAATTGTTTTGACCTTCGTCAAAACAATACGCAACAACTGTTTATCGCTGATCAATTGTCATAAATCCTAATCGAAGTGAATCTCGTCCTTTTTTTAAAGAAAGAAATGCATTTTGATATGCCCTTGTTTCATCCAACTGTGTCTTAACTTTGGACTTAATAGCAAACTGTCCTTCGTGTTTTAGTTGTATTTCCTTTAGCTGATTCAAACGGCCTCATTATCTCTTCGGCATGTGATGTTTTTTTTTTATTTCAAAAGGGACAATGTACATGACATATGCCACAGTTAAAAGACTAGTTTTCAAGCTACAATTAATATAAATATCACAGTGGAATACAGACAACAAGCTTCTTCCAAAACAGGAGAATAAAGCATTTTTTATCTAAAAGACTATATATCAAGTTACACAATTAAAAAGCCACAAAGCACAAAAGTTCAACAATACCTTTAAACAAATAAATAAAATAAAAATAAGAATAATATGATCGGTGCCTGCACATTTGTTTACACAAGAGCCATTCTTTAGTAGCAAATGATTTTAAAGACTGTTTGGTATTTAATTCCAGTTGTAAAAAGCTCTCACTCAAAATTAGTTCTGAACAAATGTACTTGGTCTAAGAGGTACAAAGTCATTCTTATGGTCCTCACAGACGAGATGTAACAAGCTCTTCAAATGAAGGAGGTGCAAGACCATCCAAATAAAAAAAAGAAAAGACCAAATAGAAATGTGCAAATATGGTCATATTTTCCCAACTCAACAAATGATGTTTTGTCAAAGTATTGCAATGACCTACTGGCTTTTTCATCTAAGATTTTAAATATCTGTTTATAAAGTATCTCAATAGTCTGTAGGGTAAATGGGTTACCCTGCTTCCAACTTGTAGAACAGCGAGTCAAGTGAGGCAAAATCATAGCATTCATGAATATTTTTGTAGCCAAGTTAGTTAAACAGTATTTTGCACATGTACCTAAAATATACTAAATTAAACGTAACTGTTTTTGTTATTGTCTGAGTGTAACCTTTTTAATTATTATGGCTTTTCATCAGTACTCTGCGTTGTGTGAATATGGACCAGGAGACAGGATGATACAAGATGTAGTTTATCTGTATGAAACAGGATATAAAATAATCAGAGACCAGGTTCATCACCGGCAGTACAGCACCTCGCGCCCATCTCTCATGAACTGGCCAACGGCCATATTTTATACATTAACATAAGACAGAATTTCAAGGAAATAAAACAATAAATAAATGAAACAATATGTACCTGTATGAAACAGGATATGAAATAATCAGGGACCAGGTTCATCACCGGCAGTACAGCACCTTACGAGGAATAGTATTTTATGTTAACAGAACAATTTATAGGACCGTTACAATGTTCCCAGTGAACCTACCTCGCGCCCATCTCTCATGAACTGGCAACGAGATATCTGTGTTCACTATATTTAACGTTGCCAATCACCAGGAGGGGGTGCTGTCTCACCCATTACACCTGAACCCAAACTTGGAAGTAATGACAAGTGGAATTCTATAAAATATTAACTATGTAACATGAGCATAAGATTTTAATTTTAAATTAGTATCAAACACAATCCCAAAATATTTAAATTGTTTGGCCAATGTGATCTTCTCTCTCCAAGTCTGGGTCAGGTGTAATTTGTGGTATTTCAGTAAAATACATGCCAACTGTTTTAGAAACATTTAATTGAAGATGGGCATGTTGAAATTAAGTGGATAATTGTACCATTTCATCAGTAAGTCTCCAAGCAATTTGTTTTTATTCTTACTGTGTACAAAGACGACAGCAACATTGGCATACAATTGGATATCTACACTGTCACAAGCTGATGGGAGTTCATTAAAGATTAAGCTGCATAACAGTGGACAAGTATTGACCTATGTGGGTCCCTATTGAGTATGCAGTTCTAAGTATCTAGCTAGTTATTTACTTAAATGTTAAGTCTGTCAGATAAGAACTAATCAATTTAATTGTGGTTGGTGAACAGCTTAATGCAGAAATAAGGACTTTATCATTTACTGTGTCAAATGCTTTTCTTAAATCTAAAAACACAGCCCGAACAATACTACCTTTATCTGAAGATGTAATTTTCTCTATGTAGCTGTTATAAATGTTTGGAATGAAAGCCAAAATACATCATATGTAAGGAAAATGAGCTATTATTAAGATATCCATTTTCCAGCTACTTTTGAAATTGCGGGTAGGACCGATATGGGTCTGTAATTTTGAATATCTGTGGTCTTACCAGATTTAAAGATGAGTGTAATGTCGATTTTCATACAATGGGAAAAGTACCACTCGAAATTCAAGAATTTATCAACTTACAAATAATGGGTACTTATTATTGCTCAGAGCATCTTAGAGGTCATGTCATATACATCTTTAACTGAAGCAAATCTATTATTTTTAGCACTTTAGATTTGTTTTAGGGAAAAATGAGTAGATAATTTTTAATTGGTATAGGATCAAACAGAACAAGAGTGAAACTATAATCAATTAACAAATTAAATGCAGAAAACTGTTCAAAGCCTCTGCCATTTCATCAGGGTCCTATAGCAGTTTTCCTACCATTTTAAGTTTGAGAATTTAAAATGTGTGCCTGTTGGTTTCTTGTGTTGCTCCCACAACATAAGAAACCAAACCAATGCTGATGGGAGTTTAACAATATTAATAAAAAAAAGTTAGCTTTTGCCTTTTGCAGTGCTTTCACTTCTTTGTTTTGTAAAGTAACATACTTTTTTGTCATGAATTAATTTTGAATTCAGGGTCTTTTTAAGGGCTGCATCTATTAATTTCATTAAGATCAAGATACCTGTATTTATCCATAGCACGCTACTTCTGTTTCTATTCCTTAGACACAGGCGTTTTGTTATATATAGGTAGACTTTTTTTTCATGCACATGGTGCTGCCGGTAGAGTAATGTTTAGCACTGTTGCCTTGCAACAAAAAAGGTCCTGGCTTCAAAACGCTCAATGTCTCCTGCTCCATGCATTGGTTCTCTCCCAAACATAGACTTAAGTCGTGCATTAGGCGTATTAGAATTTCAGAATTCACTTTTGTTTGTTAGTGTATGTATATGTGTGTACATTCTTATTTGTTCTTTGTTTCTTTGATGGACTGATGTGGTTTACCATTCCCATTGAGTTTTAGTTTATGTAATTGTGTTGAGCTTTAGCATATTAAAGTTAGTTCTAAATTGAATCTGATCTTTTAAATGTTAGAAAAACACACAGCCTAACTACATCATGTTTGTTTATTTTACAGTTCAGAAGACTGGTCTAAGAACTGTGAAACAGCAGAAATTTGAAGACAGACTAAGGAAGGTGACATCTTCATTCATCAAAGTTTAGATAGGAGCTTCAATCAGCTCCTTCATGCTCAACCCATAATGTGTGACATTACTGCAGAGTTAGCTTTGGCGGATGTGAAGGAAGAAGTTTCTTCAGAGCCATGCCCAGAACCTTTGTTCTTAATCCTGCCCCCACCGCCACCTTTCTCTCTGTCCCCAGGAGAACTCACCATGCCCTGGCCAAAATGGCTTAAAGCTTTTGAACACTACGCTCAAGCATTCAGTGAAAAAGCATTTGGTGAGAAAGATATGGAGGACTCCAGTAAGCTGGTGCTTTTACGAAGTTTCCTGGGCCAAGAAGGACAGAACGTCTATTCAACTCTGATCAGGAATCAGGCTACATATGCGGTTGCTATTTCAGAGCTCACTGCTCATTTTGGCTCAGATTATGCCACTCAGGCACACCGCCTTAAGTTCCACCAAAGGATTCAGATGCCTGGAGAGACTGTAGATGAGTTTATTACAGCCCTAAAAAATCTGCTGAGGCTTTGTCAGTATGGAAGGTGCAAGAACAAACTTCTATTAGATCAGCTGATTGAGAAAACAAACAATTTGCAGCTCAGAGAGAAGCTACTGATGAGGAAAGACCGTCTAACCTTGGCCAAGGCTCTGACTATTGCTAAAGAGGTAGAACCTTCTTCAAGTGGTTCTCAGCAGTTGGATTTTAATGAAGTGAGTGTGGATATTGGAGACGAATTAGAGATTCCTGTTCAAATTAAGCGCAAAAGAGGAAGACCTCGGATTGGGGAAGAAAAGGTTAAATTTAAGGCACCTGTGGCGGAACCTCAACAAAAGCTCAAAAGAGGAAGGCCTCGACTTGGGGAGAAAAAGGTTACATTAAAACTTCTTGTGACTGAGCATCAACAAAAGCGCAAACGAGGAAGACCCCGGCTTGTGGAGAAAAGGGTTACATCAGAACTACTTGTGACTGAAGCCCAAAGAAAATCAGACGAAATCAAAAAGCATAACTCTCACAGCAATGATATGATGTGTTACAGTGATGGTGAAGGTAGATCCCAGGCTTGTGATGAACTAGATAATGCTATCACCTCATCACCTCAGATGATGGAAGATGAAAAAAGCAACCAGTCAAGTTGCTGTGACAATGTTGAAGACAATGATGACAGCAAAGACGAAGACTTCTTCCCTCCTTCAACTAAGGGAAAAGACCTTTGTTGTTCCATCTGCATCAACAAGTATTTCAAAACAGCGGACAAGCTCAACAGACACATGAGGACACACACTGGTGAGAAACCATTCAAATGTCTTCTCTGCAATCTGACATTCAGTCAGTCTTACCACATGACCAGACACATGAGGAACCAGCATGCTGCAGGCCCATATATTTGCCCCTCCTGTGGGATAAGCCTGGAAAGCCTCACAGAGTTATTGAAACACAAGAAGACGCACAAGCCACAAATCCTTTACTGCCCTGACTGTAATGAAATCTTTTTGAACAATGAAGATCTTCGTAATCATGTGAAGTCACACAAGAAAGACCTGTCTTCCCAAACAGAGGGAGAAAGCAGTCAACAACAGCCTCAATGCATTGAAGTGAAAACTGAAGAATTATTTGATGTTTCTGCTGAAGCTTGTGAAGCTACTGAGAGCCATTGCCTTACTAAGGGTGTCAACTCAGAAGCTAACTCTGAAAAAGTTGTACTAAAGAAAACTAGAGACAATTCTTGTCCCATCTGTGTTGGGAGGCGCTTCAAAGGCCCAAACAAACTTGCTAGACACATGAGGACCCACACAAAGGAAAAACCTTTCAGTTGCCCCATCTGCAACAAGACGTTCAGCCAGTCATATCACATGACACGTCATGTGAGAATTCAGCATGGTCTAGGGCAGTACATCTGCCCTCACTGCGGGAAGAGTTTCACCACCTGGCTAGAACTAAAAATACACAAAAGAACTCATGCTCACATTGATCTTTTTTGCCTGGCATGTAATAAGCAGTTCAAAGAGAAGGGTGCACTGGAAAAGCATCTTAAACTACACAAAGCAGTTGAGCCCAGTCCTCGAAGCCTCATCTGTGGTGATTGCGGCAAAGAATTTGGCCGCTCGTATCATTTGAAGAGGCACATCATGTCTCATCGTAAAGCTGCAAAGTCTGACTTTTACACATGCCCTGACTGCAAGCAAATCTTTTACTTCCCTGAAGACCTCAACAAACACCTGGAAGATCATGTGAAGGAAAACAGTGGGACGTGTCCCAAATGCAATGAGAGGTTTGGCAGTGCAGAGGAACTCGAGACTCACATGCAGGTTCATCGGAAGTCTTTTCCTTGTGGTACCTGTGGGAAGAAGTTCAAAGTGGAGTATGCACTGAAGAAACATGAGGAGAGTCACCAGCATGATCAATATTACTGTTCATTGTGCCAGAAACACTTCATGAAGCTGTCTCATTATAAGAGACACGTGCAGGTCCACGACAGACGAGAATCCAGATGTCCACACTGCAATGAAGTCTTTCTAAAGCTTACAGCTTTCAAATATCACCTTCGGACACACACTCTGGAAAGGCCGTACCAGTGCAGTTGCTGCATTGAGACTTTCGAGCAGGAGGAGGAGTTGGAGCAGCACTGCCTCAAACACAGGAAGTTTAAGAAAGAGAGGCCTTATTCATGCACACGCTGTGACCTTGCTTACTCAACTTTGGTGGAATTGACTGAGCACATGATTTCTCATGAGGGAGAGCAGCCACAGACCTGTCCCTTTTGCGGCAAAACCTTCCTGAACAAGAACAAGCTGGAGCGGCACATAAGTATCCATACTGGCGAGAGGCCCCACCTGTGCTCCATCTGCGGCAACGGCTTCCCTTCGGCCGCCAGTCTCAAGCTGCACGTCTTTATTCACACCGGGGAGAAACCCTTCAAGTGTCTGCAGTGCAGCAAGAGCTTCAGCTCCTCCAGTGGGTTGCGTCTCCACAGCAGGCAGCACATGGATGAGCGGCCCAGCTATGAGTGTCCGGAGTGTGGCAGGACGTACGGCCGCCTGACAGAGCTGAAGATGCACCAGCGCTACCACACCGGGGATAAACCGTACGCATGCACCTGCTGTTGCAAACGTTTTATTAGCAAAGACAAGCTGAACGTTCACATGAGAACGCACACAGGAGAGAGACCCTTTTCCTGCCCTCACTGTGGGCAAACCTTTACACAAACTGGGGACAGAAACAGACACATCAGTAAATATCACACTATGATCTAATCAGTCTACAAGATGTTTCCTGTGAAAATTACATTAGAAGTTTTGCATGCTTGTAGGTATACTTTTAGGACTGTTGTTGGATTCACTGTCATATTATTTGAGACTGTGCAAGAATCCAAATTCTATTGGAAGCATGTCTTCAATAAACGTAGTATATGTCCACAGGCAATCCTAAACACAGGAACTGACGGATGTAGAGCTTGATAATTGAAAGGTGTTCTGCTTTTCTGAATCAAGAAACTAGTCACTGACTAAGTAGTTCATCTCAACTTATTTTAAAAATCTTTTGTAATGAAACGGTTTTTCAATAAATTTTTAAAAAAACAATTAAGATACAAAAATCCTAACATAACTGTTGGTAAATATTAAAATATGGTTAATGATCTCTTGTGCTAATTAAAGCCCAAGGACAAATTGTTCAGTACATGATTTCAAACCTATTGTAATTGAGGTTTATAGGTAAATTAGATTCCATAGATGTAATGAGAAAATGTCTTATTTCAGGCATTAGAATCTTTATACTTAACTTAGACTTGGAAAACATGAATTTTTTATATATATATATATATATATATATATATTATATATATATATATATATATATATATATATATGGATCATCTATATATATATATATATATATATATATATATATATATATATATATATATATATATACAAAAGTTATTTGTTTAATGTGCAGATGTCATCAAGTGACTAATAAAACACTACAGTGAACAATCTGGAAGAAATTGGGCAGACGATAAAATGGAGAAAAATTGCATTTATTTTTCTCATTGTTGATTGTGTTTCTCTCCAGCATTTTCTGTTAATTTTGCTTCCTTTAACATTTTAAATTTGCTTGTGGGGTTGCTATTTCAGCAGGTATTTTATTTTTAAGATGTCATAAAAATAAAACTTATTTCACTCAACATCCTGTGTTGAGGTCTTCTTTTGTAAAAGGTAAGTCCTTTTGACTGAATGATACTGATCATCTTTTATTATTTTTTGAACTATCACTACTTGAGTGAAATTTGTGGAGGCTCTGAGTAATGAAAAACAGGTTTTAACCAAAATCAACCGTACACAGACATACAATTTATTATAGAAATCTTTTTTGTACACCATGTTTTGTGCCATTTATCCGGTGTTTCTTGAACATAAAACTATCTAAGACGAAAAAAGCTTTCTCTCAGTGAAATAAGTCAAAAATGCACCACTGTGTAATTATCTGCAAATTCATGAAAATTCAGCTTTATAATCTTTGAAACAGCTTAGAAGTACTGAGAAGCAGTATATTTTAGTGTTTTGAACAATTCCAGTGTTGATCTCAACGAAAGAAGTCAAAAATAAGACTAAGACAAAAAAAGCTTTCTATCAGTGAAAAAAGTCAAAAATGCACCACTGTGTAATTTTCTGCTAATTCATGAAAGTTCAGCTTCATAATCTTTGAAACAGCTTAGAAGTACTGAGAAGCAGTCAATTTTAGTGTTTTGAACAATTCCAGTGTTGATCTCAGTGAAAGAAGTCAAAAAATAAGACTAAGACGAAAAAAGCTTTCTCTCAGTGAAATAAGTCAAAAATGCACCACTGTGTAATATTCTGCAAATTCATGAAAGTTCAGCTTTATAATCTTTGAAACAGCATAGAAGTACTGAGAAGCAGTATATTTTAGTGTTTTGAACAATTCAGTGTTGATCTCAGTGAAAGAAGTCAAAAATAAGACTAAGACGAAAAAAGCTTTCTCTCAGTGAAATAAGTCAAAAATGCACCACTGTGTAATTTTCTGCAAATTCATGAAAGTTTAGCTTCATAATCTTTGAAACAGCTTAGAAGTACTGAGAAGCAGTATATTTTAGTGTTTTGAACAATTCAGTGTTGATCTCTGTGAAAGATTCAAAAATAAGACTAAGATGAAAAAAGCTTTCTCTCAGTGAAATAAGTCCAAAAATGCACCACTGTGTAATTCTGCAAATTCATGAAAGTTCAGCTTCATAATCTTTGAAACAGCTTAGAAGTACTGAGAAGCAGTAAATTTTAGTGTTTTGAACAATTCCAGTGTTGATCTCAGTGAAAGAAGTCAAAAATAAGACTAAGACGAAAAAAGCTTTCTCTCAGTGAAATAAGTCAAAAAATGCACCACTGTGTAATTTTCTGCAAATTCATGAAAGTTCAGCTTCATAATCTTTGAAACAGCTTAGAAGTACTGAGAAGCAGTATATTTTAGTGTTTTGAACAATTCCAGTGTTGATCTCAGTGAAAGAAGTCAAAAATAAGACTAAGACGAACAAAGCTTTCTCTCAGTGAAATAAGTCAAAAAAGCACCACTGTGTAATTTTCTGCAAATTCATGAAAGTTCAGCTTCATAATCTTTGAAACAGCTTAGAAGTACTGAGAAGCAGTATATTTTAGTGTTTTGAACAATTCCAGTGTTGATCTCAGTGAAAGAAGTGAAAAATAAGACTAAGACGAAAAAAGCTTTCTCTCAGTGAAATAAGTCAAAAATGCACCACTGTGTAATTTTCTGCAAATTCATGAAAGTTCAGCTTCATAATCTTTGAAACAGCTTAGAAGTACTGAGAAGCAGTATATTTTAGTGTTTTGAACAATTCCAGTGTTGATCTCAGTGAAAGAAGTGAAAAATAAGACTAAGACGAAAAAAGCTTCTCTCAGTGAAATAAGTCAAAATGCACCACTGTGTAATTTTCTGCAATTCATGAAAGTTCAGCTTCATAATCTTTGAAACAGCTTAGAAGTACTGAGAAGCAGTATATTTTAGTGTTTTGAACAATTCCAGTGTTGATCTCAGTGAAAGAAGTCAAAAATAAGACTAAGACGAAAAAAAGCTTTCTCTCAGTGAAATAAGTCAAAAATGCACCACTGTGTAATTTTCTGCAAATTCATGAAAGTTCAGCTTCATAATCTTTGAAAAGCTAGAAGTACTGAGAAGCAGTATATTTTAGTGTTTTGAACAATTCCAGTGTTGATCTCAGTGAAAGAAGTGAAAAATAAGACTAAGACGAAAAAAGCTTTCTCTCAGTGAAATAAGTCAAAATGCACCACTGTGTAATTTTCTGCAATTCATGAAAGTTCAGCTTCATAATCTTTGAAACAGCTTAGAAACTGAGAAGCAGTATATTTTAGTGTTTTGAACAATTCCAGTGTTGATCTCAGTGAAAGAAGTCAAAAATAAGACTAAGACGAAAAAAGCTTTCTCTCAGTGAAATAAGTCAAAAATGCACCACTGTGTAATTTTCTGCAAATTCATGAAAGTTCAGCTTCATAATCTTTGAAACAGCTTAGAAGTACTGAGAAGCAGTATATTTTAGTGTTTTTGAACAATTCCAGTGTTGATCTTAGTGAAAGAAGTCAAAAATAAGACTAAGACGAAAAAAGCTTTCTCTCAGTGAAATAAGTCAAAATGCACCACTGTGTAATTTTCTGCAAATTCATGAAAGTTCAGCTTCATAATCTTTGAAACAGCTTAGAAGTACTGAGAAGCAGTATATTTTAGTGTTTTGAACAATTCCAGTGTTGATCTCAGTGAAAGAAGTCAAAAATAAGACTAAGACGAAAAAAGCTTTCTCTCAGTGAAATAAGTCAAAAATGCACACTGTGTAATTTTCTGCAAATTCATGAAAGTTCAGCTTTCATAATCTTTGAAACAGCTTAGAAGTACTGAGAAGCAGTATATTTTAGTGTTTTGAACAATTCCAGTGTTGATCTCAGTGAAAGAAGTCAAAAATAAGACTAAGACGAAAAAAGCTTTCTCTCAGCGAAATAAGTCAAAAATGCACCACTGTGTAATTTTCTGCAAATTCATGAAAGTTCAGCTTCATAATCTTTGAAACAGCTAGAAGTACTGAGAAGCAGTATATTTTAGTGTTTTGAACAATTCCAGTGTTGATCTCAGTGAAAGAAGTCAAAAATAAGACTAAGACGAAAAAAGCTTTCTCTCAGTGAAATAAGTCAAAAATGCCCACTGTGTAATTTTCTGCAAATTCATGAAAGTTCAGCTTCATAATCTTTGAAACAGCTTAGAAGTACTGAGAAGCAGTATATTTTAGTGTTTTGAACAATTCCAGTGTTGATCTCAGTGAAAGAAGTGAAAAATAAAGACTAAGACGAAAAAACTTTCTCTCAGTGAAATAAGTCAAAAATGCACCACTGTGTAATTTTCTGCAAATTCATGAAAGTTCAGCTTCATAATCTTTGAAACAGCTTAGAAGTACTGAGAAGCAGTATATTTTAGTGTTTTGAACAATTCCAGGTTGATCTCAGTGAAAGAAGTGAAAAAATAAGACTAAGACGAAAAAAGCTTTCTCTCAGTGAAATAAGTCAAAAATGCACCACTGTGTAATTTTCTGCAAATTCATGAAAGTTCAGCTTCATAATCTTTGAACAGCTTAGAAGTACTGAGAAGCAGTATATTTTAGTGTTTTGAACAATTCCAGTGTTTGATCTCAGTGAAAGAAGTCAAAAAATAAGACTAAGACGAAAAAAGCTTCTCTCAGTGAAATAAGTCAAAAATGCACCACTGTGTAATTTTCTGCAAATTCATGAAAGTTCAGCTTCATAATCTTTGAAACAGCTTAGAAGTACTGAGAAGCAGTATATTTTAGTGTTTTGAACAATTCCAGTGTTGATCTCGTGAAAGAAGTGAAAAATAAGACTAAGACGAAAAAAAGCTTTCTCTCAGTGAAATAAGTCAAAATGCACCACTGTGTAATTTTCTGCAAATTCATGAAAGTTCAGCTTCATAATCTTTTGAAACAGCTTAGAAGTACTGAGAAGCAGTATATTTAGTGTTTTGAACAATTCCAGTGTTGATTCAGTGAAAGAAGTGAAAAATAAGACTAAGACGAAAAAGCTTTCTCTCAGTGAAAATAAGTCAAAAATGCACCACTGTGTAATTTTCTGCAAATTCATGAAAGTTCAGCTTCATAATCTTTGAAACAGCTTAGAAGTACTGAGAAGCAGTATATTTTAGTGTTTTGAACAATTCCAGTGTTGATCTCAGTGAAAGAAGTGAAAAATAAGACTAAGACGAAAAAAGCTTTCTCTCAGTGAAATAAGTCAAAAATGCACCACTGTGTAATTTTTTGCAAATTCATGAAAGTTCAGCTTCATAATCTTTGAAACAGCTTAGAAGTACAGAGAAGCAGTATATTTTAGTGTTTTTGAACAATTCCAGTGTTGATCTCAGTGAAAGAAGTCAAAAAATAAGACTAAGACGAAAAAAGCTTTCTCTCAGTGAAATAAGTCAAAAATGCACCACTGTGTAATTTTCTGCAAATTCAAGAAAGTTCAGCTTCATATCTTTGAAACAGCTTAGAAGTACTGAGAAGCAGCATATTTTAGTGTTTTGAACAATTCAGTGTTGATCTCAGTGAAAGAAGTCAAAAAATAAGACTAAGACGAAAAAAGCTTCTCTCAGTGAAATAAGTCCAAAATGCACCACTGTGTAATTTCTGCAAATTCATGAAAGTTCAGCTTCATAATCTTTGAAACAGCTTAGAAGTACTGAGAAGCAGTATA